GAGGACAACAAAATGGAAAAGTATATCGGTCCCAGCTTTAAGTCTTACCGTGCGACCTACGTTAATAGCTACACTTTCCTATAGGGAAATTCGCTAAAAGGGGTTCACATGTTATTTTAATGCAACAACACTACAATTTTGCTCTACTGTACTAAGGATGAAACTGGGTATACAAAAGTAAATACATATCCAATATGATGAGTTTCGAAAAGCATCATGGACAAAGCATCATCCTATGGGGTAAATATGAATTTTTGTAATTATACACTCAGAAAACCTTAAGATTCCTTGCTTGGGTTTAGTGGATGTGTTCAAAAGAGTGTTAAAAACAAAGTAGTATATTGTTTCTTCCCCCGATGAAGGGTTACGGTGGTAGTACATAGGAAAAAATAGTATCCCATGAAATTTATAATGACTATGGTTGATAAAACCCCACTTTTGATATGATTGTATATAAGAGAGTGAACACATATCTAAAATAATTGATTTACACAAAGCATCCTAGCTGGACCATGAGAATATGCTTTCACAGGGGGTTGTATGAGATTTAACTTCAAAATCCAATGGGTTTAGTGGATGTGTTAAAAAGAGCTTTAAAACAAACAAAGTAATATATTGTGTCTTTAATTCCTCGATGCTATGGGTAAAATTATCATCCTGGGATGAAATCAAAAGCGGCTTAACTGTTGATAAAACTCCAATTTTGATATGATAGGCTGGATGTAAGAGAGTGAAGACTTATCTAGCATGAAAAGTGAAAGCTTCCTAGCCAGATGATGAGAACAGCTTTTCTTAGAGGGTTATGGGGCAAATATATTTTATTGTTGTATTTTTTACTTTGAAAACTTCCAAATTCCACATTCTAGCAAAAGTTTCTTTTTTAAAAGCTAAAAAAAAATTACTATTGTCAGATCTATTATTGTTGTCTTTTTTTTCGATTGATCATACTCACTCTATCTTAATTGTTTGATAAAGGGTTACCATACAGAGAAAATTTCCTATACGGAGATTCCGATGTATAGTTCTAATGTGACCAAGGTAAAGCTCCGCTATTAATGTAATTTGGTTGAATACAATAAACACTCATCCATCAGGTTGAGTTTTACTAACTGTCTTGATTAATTCATTTGAACTGGCTTTTATGGGTTGAATATGGATTTCTTTCTAAATTAACTTGAAAACATCCGAAAAATTTAGATATTTTTTTATCTCCATAATAATTAATGACATAGAGTTTTTAAAATCCCTTTTCTTTAGTTTGCTGATAATGATGTTCTCAGCTAAGTTTTCCAAGTCCAAAGATAATATGATACCAATAATATAATAATAATGATAATATAATAATAATATAATATGATAATATGACACCAAGAATAAGTTGATAAATTTAAGCATAGCACAAAATTTTCTGGATACTGAATATTTCCTAGATGGCTGATGGCAGCCTGTTCTGGTGTTCTGGACGTCTAAACAACAGAGGCCATGGTGTTTTGTTGACTTGTCATTTCATTTAAGTTATGGCCATACACATTCACCACATCTGCACCAAGGCCTCAGGCATGCTCGCTCGAAATGATTTCCTGCTCTGCAAGACACTGTTTGAGCATTGAGCATGCATGCCTGCTCGATCCAGTGTAGTACTTTGTGCGCCAACCTAGAGTACTACGGTGTAGTCTGGTCGTCTTACTAACCAGCTCAGCCTTATTAACTAGGCTACAGTATTGTAACTTCGTTTCGTCCACACACGGGAAGAATGAGCGTGCACCTAGTTTATTTAGTATTGTGTTATGAGGTTGGCAACAGTTACAATCATATTATTGATGCAAACTAAATGTGGTTTGGCCTTACTTAGGTTAACTCATAAAAACCGAGATCAGACATATTGACCTAAGTGGGTGATAGCACTGAGCAAAAAGTATGAGTAATAAATAAGTGAGTGAAGCTTATCACCACATTTGTGTCATATATAGACACTCTCAGATAAGCATGAAGAGATATAGTTGAGAAAGGTTCTCAAGCAGTACATATTATGATAGTATGTATGTCATGCTAAGGGTCAGAGCCCTTTGTAGGAAAGAAGTAAATATTGTAAGATATTATTAATACTGTATTTGTTGTTCAAAATATAAATACCAGATGTGAGATGTGACAACGATTAACATGCATATGATAACTGAATCAGTTATCTATATATTAATAGAGAAGCATGTTTCTTTAAAATCTTTTTTCCCAGCTCGTTTGCATCCTAGGGAAAATCTATGCATACTGTTAGAAAGATATTTCTCTTTAGGTGTGCAAAATCCCTTTATAAATTAAAATAGGTTTAAAAAATCACAAATAATGAATTCAACATTTTAAAGAATTAACATGGGCCTTATGGGTTGCTATGCTGGTGACGAAATAACAACAAAATATAAACAGATCAAAACAAATGGAAGAAATTCAAATCCCATGTTTTATTTACAACGTGGGGTGAAAAAATAGAGAAGTCTGTACATTACATATTTTTTGTTGAGTTATCTATCACTGGACGACCTCTAGTTTTCGCATATTAATGGCTAGCAGCTGTAACCTTGCTTTACAACGGGGAGAACAAAAATATAATTATATTGCTGTGTTCTGTTGTTAAACCTTTTAACGTATTAATATATATCCCATAAGGTAAACATGGGAAACTCCAGAGCCACTGGGGTGGAGCTCCAAAGGAGTTCAAGAATGGGAATGGGACAGAAACCTTCCCGGGAGTGCATATTGTATAGAACAACTTCCCAAAGTTTCATCACGATTGGATGGCCGTTTTGGTAACGCATAAAGGACAAACAATTTCCATTTGTATGTAAAATAAAAAACCTATAATTGTCTTAACAATATAGTCCAGGGGCCAGAAACATGAATTTTGATTGAACATTTTGACGAAAACAATACTTTCTCCATATATTAAGTAAAGGGGGAGAAAGTAAAACAAATTAATAGTGCTGCACTCTGTTGGTAAACCTTGAAATTTTTTAATGCTATTAAATATCATAGAAGCTACTTGTTTAGTTGAAACATCTGGTGAAGTTCTTTAATTCCTTTTAAATATGAATACTCATAAGACTTTGAACCCCTGTGGGACGCTTAATTTTTATTTCGGCTGCGGATTTTTAATACGGACAAAATGAGAACATTCTATTGGCTGAGGAAACACCGTTACCACAATGATATGGAAAGGCAGTCAACGGTGTTCATGGTCAAATGGATAGAGCACCAGACTGATATGCAGAAGGTAACGAGATCGAATCCCACCAGTGACATTAACTTCTTGTCAAAGATTTTGCTTAGAATGCGATTACTTCTTAACTGTACATCTTTTGTTAGAATTTAAGACATTTATAATTTTATTTTATGAACAGAACTATTTTTTCAATTAGTAAACCTTCATTCAATTTTTTCATTATCAGCAAATTTGGTTAGTTAGTTTAGGTTATGACCGTTTAATTTTATAATAATAAAATTATGAAATTAATTTTATATTTTTTCTTAACTTTATAAAATTAAAAAAAAAATAATTTTACATTTTTTTTAATTTTTAACTCTCATTTTTTCCGTGGGACATAGCCCTATAGGATTTTCTCAACTTCTCAAGACAACCCTCTGCATAAGTAGGCTACCTCATAAGTGCAGTGCTTTCATAAGTACCGGCTTTGACTATTAATACAACAATATCCAATAGTCAATGGTACTGATCTACGTACAGCTAAATCAGTCCAGTAATTTTAGTTTTCACGTGATGGAACTTCAGAGTTACACCCAAACATCCATACTTTCACATTTATAATATTAGTAGGATATATATAGAGGAGACAGATTTAATATATCTGCGATATTACAGAGAAGTAAGTCATTTCTATCGGTGTGTTTGTTTCGAGTATACCAAAACAACCAATTTGCTGGAATGTTAAACAAGTTAGATCATGAATAATCAACAAGTCTAGTGGCTATAATGTTTTAGTTACCTCCTCCTAAAATACATACCTAGGTATACGTCACATCTGAATGTAATACAGTACAGTAGTAATAATAATAATAATGCCTGGGCTACCACCCTAAGGATTTCCATTGTTTAGAGAGAATGTTTTGAGGTAAATATTGTGGCCTCAATCGTCACAAAAAGAAAACCTTTAATTTAATGTTTAAATTTGTATTATTTAAGTGTTTGTCTTTTAATTAATAGTAATATTCTACCATACAGCCAAACCAAAGAGAGTTATAAAACTAAGTTGAACAATTGGGTTTTGCTTTCTATTCTACAATAAATAGTGGGGGGGAGGAATGCTCTGTGGGGGAGGGTATGTCTAGAGTAGAGTAGGTTTAAACTGTTTACAGAGAACCATTTTATTCTTCTTTTCACTCTGTAGCAAAGCTTGGGCAACTTGCTTGGGTATTGCGGTGTATAAATATTTAAATAAATAAACTTAAAAATGGTATCTAAAAGATTATGAGGCTCACCTACTATTTTTTAAATGTTGTCGGTTTAATCCTATTAAGTCTATGGCTTTTGAAGCTATCACTACACTTTTGATATATGTACGGACTAAAGACCTGCTGGTTTTTGTCAGTAATAAATCATTACACTCAACCTACTAAAACACTAACTACATGAATCTTTTAATCATGATTGACATAAAATACACTAAGCTGAGTAGCCATATCAATACAGTGGTGTGGACCTAAATAAATATATTACAACACCAATAGAATTTTGTATTACCACTTGGATTTGAACTTACGCTATTGCATCTGATGTTCATCAAAAGAACAATATGTCCGTACAATCTACAAAGCTATTGTGTTGTTAACTTTTAACATTCTCCTTACTTAGCATTAATGTTATTCATTTCAACCTAGACTAGTTTGGCACAATTTTTGAAAAAATATTACTAGATTCCTCAACATTTGGGATATATTTTTGACACTTTGCTCGTCTGGTTTAGAACAAATGGCAAATACAGTAGACCTACCCTCATCATCTCCTTTGACAACTCTCGCATGGTGGCAGCCACCTCCGGTATTTTGATTAGTCTCTGTATGGACTGCATCACTTCTGTTGATTTCTGTAACGATCCCGCCACTCTTAATGTGGCTGAAAAAAATGTCCATTATTCACACCATTCAAACACCTTTACATGTGTTTACTTCAAAATAGTCTAATAAACATTTTTTGTTCCCTCATTGAAGAGGTAAATTTTAGTTTCTCAGTTGCAATTTGATATTATACGGTAATTGGCTATGATAAAAGATATCTGAAATCAATTGTCTGATGAGTCAATCGAGATTAAATCTCATTAAAATACCTTCAATCCTTATGGTTTTTAATGTTTAGGACTTGCATGCAAAAGTCTGAAACGTTTAGTTAACTTGACAACTTTTCTTTGATTATAAAATGTCTGTATTTTTCTAGTACATAAGAACATTGTTTGAATTACAAATTAAATGTACAAAAATAATCTTACCCAACTGATTTTTCATTTGCAGCTGAATTGAGTTTAGATGTGCCTTAGATGTTTGCAATTTAGTAATTGCTTTACGAGCTCTAAGAACCTCTTTGGCCAAAATGATACAAACGCTTTTGTCTCCCTTTTTTGCAGCTTCCTTCATGGATCTTTTCACTTTTTCTTCTTCTCTCTGAATAGCTGAAATATAGAACGATGATTGATGAATGAATAAAGTTACTGTAGTTAATATGACAAGTTATTTTGAGCAAGCCACAACATAATCTAACCATAGAAGCAAAGTTTTAATTACTTTCGTATTTAACAGACTCGCAGAGGGTTTTTAAATCCAGTTTAGACTATCCTCCCTAAGGGCACAGAAAACATACTACTATAACCCAGAATGCCAACCGCATTCTGGGTTATAGTTTTCTGTGCTAAGGGTCACATTCAATATCAACAAGATTATATTAGTTTGGACATTAAAAAACTGTGTTCAGATATATAAATCTAAAAAAATATAAAATTACAATCGTCTCTGTACATTGCGTAGGATTATGAACATTTTTTTAGTTTTACGTTTCATAGCCTAAGAGAGCCAAATGAGTCTAATCTCAATTTCTGATATTCTGTCATTGTGTCTGTGACGTCAAAATGCAATTAGCCTAATGGAAAGCTGACTACTAGAAAACTAGAGTACTGAACATGATTCAAATAGTTTTCCTGTATTCACTGCAATGGCGAGAATGTTTTTAACTATTCAAATATGGCCTAACAACTTTGAAAAAAAAGAACAAAAACAAATGTTCAAAAATCTGGTTGTGTGCAATTGTTGTCACAATTTCTTCATGTTTACTACATACACGTCATTTAACAAATCTAGCCTATATGTCATCAATGAAATATCAACCTGCTGTTTTCTTTCTTCAACCTGTCACTAATACATTTACCCTACATCAGAAGTTGTTTACAAGTAGTGCAATTATTTCTGATCACATTTTGTAAGCATCTGACGTAAATTCTAGGGGGGTAAATTCAAACAAACTGCTGTTCTGAAAATAATAATGTTTCAACAGACTACAAGATCCCCTCGATTGGGCACACTGCTAGTATGAACATGGGAATTTAGTTTATTTTGTCTCTATAAAATTATTTTTTAAATAATTTCTTGGTGATGAAAGTTATTTTACAGATTCTTGTGTGAAGAACATCCTTGAACAAAAGTTAACCTAACACTGAGCTAGATAATGGTAGAGCTGTGAGATCCTGTGCGTAATGGTGAGTCCTACTACCACCTGCAATTACGTGGTTGGCAGTCAACATGTTTAGTAAAAGCCAAAGCACTTTTAAATAGATCGGTTAAGAGTTAATATACTAAAAACTCACAACGGATTTGTCGATCGAGCTGATAGCCCTCTTTCCTTATTTTGTGACACCATTCATTGACCTAAAACACATAAAAATAAAATGTTGTACATACTACTAACTTATTAGTAATACTTTTGATGAAGACAAAGTAGTGCATCTAAATTAAAGTAAATTATTTCACTTTTCTCCACCCTCTTTCACTTGAAACCACCAGAGGTTTTCATCCCCACCAATGTAAGGGGCGCAAATCCCCCTCCTTGGAATTATAAGGCATACAAAGTCTTACAAAATACAAATTATTGGCCTAGCACTCAAAGGTAATCCGTGCGACAAAGTAAGTTAATGCAGTAAGTTAGTTCCAATGTATATCTTGTGATGAAAAGATATTGTTTACGGTACTTAAACAGACGAATAATTTGGATTAATTACAGCTGTTTATAGTAAACACATGATACACACAAGAGCGTTCGTTTTCAGAGTGAGTTCGTTTTCAGTTTCGATAACTGGAGTGGAGTGATTGATTACATTATCTGTAATAATTTATGCCTGTGTTCTTTCTTATTTAACCAACATATGTTTTATTAATTATTTATGATTTTGTAAACATTATCCAATATAAATACACATCTTTTGTCAAGTCCTATTAATTTTTGTCTTGTCTGTCTTTAATATTTTAAACATTGGTGCCGAAACCCGACTTATAAATCATGTCAAGAAATATGTCAATCCGAAAGTCAGGGAGAGAGAAACACCCTCCAAATAAATATTCCCCAGAAAATGTAAATGACAAGAATGATGAACTCATAGAAAGAGATAGTCAACCTCCAAAACCACTAAGACAAAAACCACATCTTCAACTTCCAGCAAGCGCCGGTTACTTCAACAGCAACTGGAAGAAATGAACAAACTAAAATACCCTAAATGCAGAAAGAAAAAGAAATGCAGCGCCAAAGAGAATTCGAGGCTAGAGAACTGGAACGACAACATCAAGCTGAAGAACTAGAACAACAACATCAAGCTGAAGAACTAGAACGACAGAGGGGAAGAGAGGAGAGGGAAATGGAACGACAACGTCAAGCTGAAGCAAGAGAACTAGAACGACAGAAGCGTCTGCGGAGAGTAAGGACAGAACTTGAGGCTGCTTCGGTCTTGGGAAGTAGTCAGTCCGCCTCAGTCTTGGGCAGTCATCATTTGGAAGATAATGAAGACCCTGACAGGGTAAGCTTCAATATTGCTACAGTTGAGGAGGACTCTAATGTCAAAGTCAAGAGGTGGCTAAATGAGGAACCGTCAGTTCCTTTGACATCGTCAGCCATCGTGTCCACGGCTATTGATAAACTAGCTGACTCCTTTTCAAAAGCTATCAATTCATCTAACCCCAACCAACCTGTATCTTGCCGACAGCGTCTTCCATCCTTCAGCGGGAAACCAGACGAATGGCCCATGTTCTATTCCTGTTATAAGACTTAACAAATACTTATAACTTTTTATAAGTATTAAATAACTTTTTTGCTGCCAATCATGGCAAAGGTGCAGTGGACGGTATAGGTAGGCTAGTAATTGTAAAAGGTACAGTTTGGGTAGCAGTAAAAAGTAGAAAAGTCATCTTAAACTCGGCAAAAGATTTCTATGGGCCTACCTGTGCTGAGAAAGAATGTAAAAAGATAAACATTCTTTTTATTGAACAGGAGAAAAATGTAGAAGATGACAAAGCACAGGGTTTAAGGTTTGACAGGGCTCTGGAAATTAAAGGTGTAATCTTTTTTGTATTTGAGAGAGCCAGTAAAAAACATGTAGCCCTGCAAAGAACTGCAACATCAAGGAGTTCAGAAATGCAAGTACTGAAATCAAGTAGGTACTGCAAAAGGTTAAGGTACCGTGAAGTTTACATTCCCTCAGATGACAATGACGTTTATAATGAAGATAATGATTGGCATGAACAGAAGTAGATGAGATCTATGATTCTCAAAAGTTCTACCTACAATACAGAAGACGCAGAAGAAGGAGACTGGGTGATTGTTATTTACGACGACGATTGGTATCCCCAGGTAGGCCTATGTATACATACGGTATTTCAATATTTTACTTTTGTTTACAAACAAGGAAAATAATTTAAAAATGGTTTAATATCAATGATATTTTAAAATTTAAACAACATTTTATAAATAATACTTTTGAACAGGTACCGGTACGTGCGTGTTTCCTAAAACGTTTGCCGTAACTTGATCGAAAACAATAGTTTAAAGCTAGCATCTGATTTTTAACATACAACTGTTTGCTGAGCAATCTTATTGGAATGTATAATTTCAATTTAAACTTATTGTAATCCTTTTTTAGGTGTGGTGGAAAGAAGGCATGACAATTATTTAAGAGTTAAAACTAGGCCTACATGAATAAAAGTGGGTTCAAGCACTTATTCTGGCCAACTGTCCCAGGCATTCAAACAGTGGAAGCTGATAAAATATTATGTAAATTTGATCCTCCATTCCCAACATCTCAGAGGAATTTTGGTCTGAGAGAAACATCTATTGTTCAGATCAACATATTATTTAGCATTGGCTATTCTTTAGGAATTCATTTTTGTGTGAATTCTTAGTAAACTGCGTTAGCACATCTAAAATGAATTTTTGTTCTTTAAACCCTGACACACTTATCCCATTGGCCTAGTTATTACCTGATATTACACAAGACTCTCCAGTAGCAATTAAAAATCACAAAAATACAGAGGTTCATTAAAAATGTAATAACTTTTTAATGGAAGCTTATTTTAACCTCTAGTTTTCAATTTTCTGTTTATAAATAATCTGTCTGCATAAAGAACATGAATAGCCAATTCAAAAATAAAAAAAAATTAAAAATATTAGCTTTTTTATTACTTAGAAAAAAAATTAAAAATCAAAGCTTAACTTATCTGATTTGTTTTATGAAAATGAAAATGCATGTTTTGGTAACATAGCCTACTGTAGGTAGGTATTGATATTTAATAAGTGTACCGTAGCCTAAGTGCATTTATTTTTTACATAGGCCTACAATATATTTTTCCTACGGTCACCCAAAAAAGTTGGCTTTCTTACACTAATTTTAGTACAGAAAGCTGCCAATTGCTGCATTAACTTACTTTGTCGCACGGATTACTTTGGCGCAAACCAGTACTCCAACCAAACAACACAAAATACGTGGTTTTATTATGCATGTAATCTGTGTAAGCTTAGAAATAGGTTGGCAACACTTAAAGACACTAATACTATGATCTGCTGATTGACTATTGATACTACGATTTAAGCAGGAAACCCACTGGTCCGACACTCTCCTACACGACGCCTTCCGTCAAGTCTCCGACACCTTCCAACAAAATTACTTTGCATGACTTTAAATGGACTGTAACCCACTAGTCCGACACGACACCTTCCGATCCGACACGTCACAACAACATTGCTCTCTGGGACATTCTTGTCGGATGTCGGATCCGTCATTTCTCCACTCTGCGTACACCAGGCCTAAATTTAGTCACTGTCTAGCTTTGTGTGTGGTTGCAATATGTGGAACAGATATGGAACATGTGATCACAAGTGTGTGATGTTTTTGTACAATTATTAGTTACAGAGAAAATTTAAAAAAAAAATTATTTTAATAATGTAAAAACTTTTAGTTTGCTTTCTGATAAATATATTTTGACCAAACTTGGTAAATTTATTTATTTTATACTAAGTTATTAATATTTTACTAAAACCAAACTTCAGCAATCCTAGGTACTCATAAAACCTAATGTTAACCTTTCAGAGCATTGGTTTTCAAAACGGGAGAGGGCGCACCCAGAGGTGACTTCCAGGTCAATAAAACAAACATTTATGAAGTAAGATTTGTATTTTAGTGCACAAATTAAGTTTTATTTTTAATTTTAAACATCAAAAATATGTTTAGTGAACTCTTAAATGTATAATAATTTAATTTAGATTTTATAAATATAAAATTAAACTACTGTATTATTCTATATCAAATGTCCTAACATAACATAAGATAACATAACATAACAAAACATAACATAGAAATCATTTACAAGAATATATTCAAGAAGTTAATTAAAATTTTATCACAATGTCCTATCTGTGGTTTTAATTGATAACACTCTCAATAGGCCTACCTGATGTTTTAAGTAATTTAACATAATGGGTATCTTAATACTAAATGGCTCTGTAGGCCAACATATGTCGTTCGTGAATCTCCCTTTCAGCATGGCTAAGAGTGTTGCAATTTGAAATTTAACTTCTTCTGTCATCTAGTAAAAACGATATATTTACTACAGTGATGACATGAATCGTAAGAAAAAAAATTATTTACAGTAATTGTTTACACACAATAATCAACACACACACTAAGCTAAAGGTCGCATTACGGAAGTTGCCACCAGGCTGTACGAGAATCAGCAGGGCGCACACGGAAGATACTTCCAGCCTCTTACAAAACTGAACAAAACTAACAAATATCCGTGAGTTTTGACCTTCACTCTATTCTAGGAATGAGGTACAGTGACACTCACACCGCCGACACCACTCATAAATGTTATGGACTTTTTTTATTATTTGATCCCTATTATTGCTCTTATCTCCCTAACTACTTCTTGTGAACAGTATGTGATCACATGTTCCATCGCAACTGGCACTGTTGTAGTGGTGGTGTATTTCATGTCGGAGGCCTACTGTTGGAGCCCGTTGGACCAATGGGTTAATGCCTTAAAATAGCAGAAGGCGTCGGAAAATGTCGGAGACTTGGCGGAAGGCGTCATGTCGGAGAGCGTCAGACTAGTGGGTTTCCTGCTTTAACCTGTATTTTCGTGGTTATATTCAATTTTTGTTCAAAGCATAACCAAAAGTGTAGTAGCCTATTTGAAAGAACAATTATAAGTGGGCCTAAGTTAACATGTTTGATATTTAGACTCCCATGGGTCACTCTAAATATTTCTGTATGTCACGTCACGTGTTATTGCAGTCAATGTCATTCCCCCCCAGACCAAACCCCACCCATTGGACCCAACCCCTCCCCTCCACCATATCTAATTCCGTAAAATTATGGTCCTCGAGACTTGAGAGAACTACTACGGCAGAGAGGTTCTGGTCCCAGTCCGGTGGGGTTTAGGCTCTCTGTACTAAAATATCGCGGCATTTTTTTAACTAACTTAAGCCTACTATATGCCAACTGTTTTCCTCCTTCGATACTCTCCTATTTCTTTCAAAGTACCTACTTTCTAATCAGTCAAGATAAAATTGAAACGTTGATGCAGATAAATATTTTTTTTAAACTTGCCTAAGTTAAGTTAGCCTAAGTGATTTTATTACTCAGCTTTGAAATAAAATGTAAAAAATAAGTTAGGCCATAAGTCACATTAACATAAGTAACTTATTACGGTTATAATATTCAGTGTTAACTTAAGTTAAACGATTTTACTTAACGTCAAATGTTATTATATAAGAGTTAACAAAAATCCTAAGTAAGTTAGGCTACGGTACCTACTTTTAAAATACTAAATGTGATAAAAAACTAGCCTACCTGCAATCAAAGCAAAAAGTTTAATTTCATAAGTACTGTAGCCTACAAAACTGCATACCTAAGTTAAAATTTTATTAGGCCTAAGTTTTTTAACACCAGATTTCATTTCCTAAATGCTTAAAAAACAGTGTTTAGAGATGTTATTTTTTTTAAGATGGGGACCCCGGACCCCCCTTTGCCTATACCCCCAGAACCCCCAGTATCCCCCCCTTGACAAGGGTCTATCTACACCACTGTAGGACGTTTTAGGTGAGTTGGGGAAAGTGAATTTAAGGTAATAGGTTTAACCCTATAGGCCTAGTGTTTTATAGAACTAATGAAATCTACGGTACTAGGCTGCACTTTAGTTTAACTTACGTCCTAAACTCACTCAAATGAATATATCGATCGATCTTATCATTATTTCATTCCATTCGATATAACTTATCAAGTTTGGTTAGTTGGTTAACCTAACCTAACAAACGGAATGAAATAATCGATGTCTACTAAGCTAACTTAGGCCTAAATACCACAAGCATAAGAACAATGATTTGTCAGGCTTATAAAACCACAGAGTCTCTCTCTCCTTATGGAATGACTTATTCCGGGTACAGTTTTTTAACTGGGCTACCAGTATGCTAATATCGATTGAAACTATCAAATTGAAAATATTGATTAATAATCGCTATTTTTAAATATATCTATTATAAAATTAAACTATCATAATCTAACCTAACCAACCAAACTTGCTGATGGTGAAAAAATCGCATGAAGGTTTACTAATCAAATCGATAGTTTCGATATAAGCATAGCCCAGTTAAGAAACTGTACCCCTTATTCCCAAAACTTAACTTAGGCTATAACAACAAAACATTAAATTGCTACAGTTCAAGAGACAAGTCTAGCTAACCTACCTGTTCCTTTGGGTCCACAGGAGTGGTTTTTCCAAACAGGCCCATTGATCCTCTAAATTTTCAGCCACCAAGGGTACCGTACCACTAGTCTTAAATTGGAGAAACCAATAAAATAACAGACAAATTTAATTATAATATAAAATATAATATTCAAGGAAATTTAAGTTAACCAAAATCAACCCTACCTAAACTAAATTAGCATATTAACAAATCTGTTCGACGTTCCACTTCACGACTTGACGTTTCAGCAGCACCTTTGTGTTTGTTTGTGTTCGTTCAGCAGGTCAGGTAGGTGTTGTGTTTGTTTGTTTGTGTGTCTTGGCTGTCTTGTCTAGTGTGAGTGTGTATGTGTGACGACCTTCTCACCGCAGTATTTCACCTTACTTTTTTTTAGAATCTTTAGAACAGTTACACAGAACTGTTTGGGATGCAACTATGACAAAAAGTATAGAATAGGTTAGGTGAAACCGTTATATTACAAATAGCTCCGTTCCTTCTCAACTCGATTATTTTTCCTGCATAAAAATTTAATTATTATGATATACCTTTTTTGCTCCTCCTCATAATAATAACAAGTCTTTTATAGACATAACCTTTAAGTTAGTTAACTGGTTTCGTTTATTTAATTATTCTTACATTACATCACGAAAACCGGCTTATTCATAAAAGATAATGATATAGTAGCATACTAAGGAAAACTATTCAAAGAAATTGCACAGTTTTGTTAAATTTGCTAACAATGAGAAAGGTTATAAAGTATAAGGTATTGTGTATTGTTGATGGAGCAGGAGTCATAATGAAAAAGCGCACAAATTAAAATCAAAAGTTTTATTATTATATTTATAGTTATATTTATGGATACAGTATTGTGAAGTTCATAATTATAATAAATTTAACTTACCTTCTTCTGTTTCGAAATTCAGCTCCCCAACTATTATTTCAATGACATGGGCATCTTCCAGATGCTGGATCAAGTTTTCAAACCACGAAAATTGATGAGAGCAATCACCCTCTGGGCAAATAAGCCTTTTCGGGTTGTTTGAACAGTCAGATTGTTGACTACAACAACTATCATACACATTACGTGTTTGGCGCGTTAAATTAAATTTACTAGCAAAGTATTTGTCACAAATTGAACATTCAAACTTTTTTATATTAATATCAGACATACTGATCCCGAACTCTTTAACTTGAAATTACACCATCGATTTAAGATAAAGTTTCCAATCACTAGACAAAATGGAGGTTGAAGGCAGAGATCCACGAAAAACAAAATGAACACCTAAAAAGGAAATGGAATGGAACTCTTTGTTTGTAATGTAACGGTTTTAACAAATCTATTCCAAACAGTTCCGTGTAACTGTTCCAAAAGTTCAAAAAAAAGGAAGGTGAAATACTGCGGTGAGAAGGTCGTTATGTGTGTGGGCGGAGTGGAGACAGGGTTGCCACCATTGAGATAAATAGATTATATATAAATAGATTATATATAACTAGAGTCACTACTCTCTGGCTAAACATTAGAGAAAAACGTACCACTGTTTTTGCTGGTTTGTTTTCTGTGTTTCGTCATAGATAAAACATGAGTACTATGTTTTATCATTGATAAAATATACTCCGAAATCTTACTTGACCGAGAGACTACAAGCAGTGTATTATATAGGCTGTTTTTAGATGTAAGAACTGGTGTGTCCCACAGGGCTCAATTTTGTTGGTCCTGTATTTTTTATTATTGAATTGAATTCAAAATGTCTTTATTCATATAATATACAGTGGTATACATCGAATGGCGTCATTATGCTAAATTACAGCTAACAAATTAATTTCTTTACATTTCCTCCATAAGCCATAAGGTACATATTTAAAACAAAAGTTGATCATAAACAACAAAAAGTATGGTTGTCAGAGTTCATCAAATTTATATAATGTTTTATTTGTCAAATGCAGTTTTAATTTTTTCTTAAACATTTTTACATCTTTAACGTTTCTTAATTCCACAGGTAGCCGTAGTAAAAACTTAGCACCCGCATTTAATGTTTTTTTATTATAAAACTCTAGCCTGTGGAAATCAATGGCAATTTGATTTCTATTTCTTGTAAAATAGGAATGGCTGTCACCTAACCTGGGAACCAGATTGTTTATACTTAGTTTTTTAGCATGAAGTGCTGTGTGAAAAACATATAAACTGTAAACAGTCATTATGCCCAAATCTGTAAAATGCTGACGAACCGAATCACCAAAATTCAAATTCATTATGATTCTTATCGCCCTTTTTTGAAGATTAAGAATTCTATCCAAATTTTGTTTTGATGTACCTCCATAGATTTCAATGCCATAACTGATTGCTGATTCAATAAGAGAAAAATAAATTGTTTTTAATGTATTTACTGAGCAAAAATTAGACATCCTAAAGCATACAATCCAGAGGTGACTTTGTTAACTACATGATCTATGTGGAGATTCCATGATAAATTTTCATCCAATGTTAAGCCTAAAAATTTGGTAGAAACAACTTTTTCCAAAGAGTGGTTGTTTATTTTTATTACTGGATTTACTGAATTTTTACTTCTTCCTGCATTGAACATGATAAAATTGGTTTTACTTGTATTTAATAATAGTTTGTGATTATTTAAAAAGTTATGGATACCCAATAAAGCTGAAGAAGAACTATGTTCCAAATTATTTTTGTATTGCTACTAATTTTGAAACTTGCATCATCTGCATATAGACAAAGTGTTTTTGTTGAGCCATTTTGAAAAGAATGTTATGTGTGTATTATATATGTGAATGACCTATCTGTTGCTGTTAAAATGACCATGTTAATTCTTTTTGTTTGCTGATGATTTGGCTGTTCAAATTCAATGTAATGATGTCTTATTTGCAAAAAAATGTTCTAATCAAGGTTAATGACTGTTAAGGACTGGTCAGCTGCAAATTCACTTTGTCTTAATGAACAGAAAACTCAAAATTTGGAATTTTGTTTGGGGAGTGTCTAAAACGCTGACAGACTGACTGACAATGTTATAACTCCATAAGACACATAAACGATGCCATAGGTTGCCACAAATGACCTACACCATTGAAATTTGAAATATGTGTTGGGAATACAATTATTTATAAGGTGTATGAATTTCAATAGGATATAGGCCTATTAATCGGAAGTTCTTAAAAATTTATTTAAGAACTATTAATGAAAAGAGTGCCACAGGTTGCCACAAACGACTTACAGTATTGAAATTCAAAACATGTGTTAAGAGGGTACATATTTATCTCCTATATAAATCTAAACAGTGTATCTTGGCCGGAAGTTCTTAAAAACGCACCTAAGAACTATTCATAAAAAGAGTGCCACAGGTTGCCACAAATTACCTACGGTATTAAAATTTGAAATATGTGTTAGGAGTACAAATATTTATAATATGTATCAATTTCAATAGGGTATCTTAACCGGAAGTTCTTAAAAACGAACCTAAGAACTATTTATAAAAAGAGTGCCACAGACTGCCACAAACGCCTTACAGTATTGAAATTCAAAACCTGTGTTAGGAGAGTACATATTTATCTTCTGTATAAGTCTGAAAAGTGTATCCTAACCGGGAGTTCTTAAAAACGAACCTAAGAACTATTCATAAAAAGAGTGCCACAGGTTGCCACAAATTACCTACGGTATTAAAATTTGAAATATGTGTTAGGAGTACAAATATTTATAATGTGTATCAATTTCAATAGGGTATCTTAACCGGAAGTTCTTAAAAACGAACCTAAGAACTATTAATAAAACGAGTGCCACAGGTTGCCACAAATGACCTACAGTATTGAAATTTGAAATATGTGTTAGGACAACAATTATTTATAATGTGTATGAATTTCAATAGCGTATCTTAACCGGAAGTTCTTAAAAACGAACCTAAGTTTATTAATAAAAAGATACACTGTTCAGATTTTTTATAGAAGATAAATAAGGTCTCTCCTAACACATGTTTTAAATTTCAATGCTTTAGGTCGTTTGTGACAACCTGTGGCACTCTTTTTATGAATAGTTCTTAGGTGTGTTTTTAAGAACTTCCGGTTAATGTACACTGTTCAAATTCATGTAGAAGATAAATATGTACCCCCCTAACACATGTTTTAAATTTCAATACTGTAAGTGGTTTGTGGCAGTCTGTGGCACTCTTTTTATGAATAGTTCTTAGGTGCGTTTTTAAGAACTTCCGGTTAAGATACAATGTTCAGATTTGTATAGAAGATAAATATTTTCTCTCCCAACACATATTTTTAATTTCAATACTGTAGGTCGTTTGTGGCAACCTGTGGCACTCTTTTTATAAATAATCTTAAATTCATTTTTAAGAACTTCTGGTTAATATATAGTATTGATATGCCTATACAGAAGATTAATATCTCCACCCATTACATATATTTCAAATTTCAATAGTGTACGTCGTTTGTGGCACTCTGTGGCATCGTTTATGTGTCTTATGGAGTAATACCATTGTCAGTCAGTCTGTCAGCGTTTTAGGCAGTCCCTTTTGTTTGAGGCCATATGCCCACGAGAGTATTAAATCTGTTAAGTTTTTAGGAATTCTTCTTCAAAGCAATGTAAAATGGGATAAACATATCGTAATGTTATGCAGTAAATTATCTAAGGGAACTTTTATGTTGATTAGGCTAAGATCGTGTTTGTGTCAAACGGATATTCTCATTACAGTTTACTATGCCTACCTTCATAGCTATATCGATCATATGATGATTGCAGTTTTTCGTTTGCAATAAAAAGTGATCAGTCAGGCTGTAGACGCTTGTATATATCTTAGAATGATGTTCACACTGTGAAGAGTTGGCAGGATCTGGGCAGAGGCAATGGTTAAAGCTCAGGAAGTCCATGTCCATTGTTGAAATTATGTACAGCTGGTTAATTCACATAAATGACACTTGCCACAGTAATTTTGATTTTCTTTGGATAATTTTGAAAAGTAATACTATATTTAAGATGTTATTACTATATTGCAATTTTCTTACAATTATATATTATTCTAAGTAAATGATTATTGTTGGTTTTTGATAAGTACAGGATATAGGTATGGAGAGAATTGGCATAAATATTGTCACATAAAATAGGATGATGTTTCTGTGGGGTGATGGGATATTATATAACATTGAACAAAATTGGATAAAATAACACATTAACAAGGAGAACATATTAAATAACTGATAACACATTATCAGGGGCATTAACAGACATTATGAGAGAAATATACAAAATAATAGAGAAATTAATGTTAATGATGAATGAATGACATGTAATATTACAGTTAATATGCTTGCTTCGCTCAATGTTGCAAGCAGACAATGCACTATATAATACACGTAGTAGTGGATTGTTTCGTCAACCATTACTACACGTATTGTTTTATAATCAATGCAATTACTTTGGTTAGATCCTACAGCCTGTAAAAACTCTTTTTTCCCACTCATCCACATCTGCATTCTGCAATAGTGCAATTAATTCTTCGTCTGCTCGAGTGCTCCTCTGTCTTGTTGACTTGTTTGGAAAACTAAAAGTAAACAGAAACACTAAACAAAACTTACTGCCTTTGCTTTCAAAAAACAATAGCTGTGCTGTGAAGAAGTGGGTTGTGTAGTGTTGTGCCAGTTCACAGTTGTGGTTGTGCATTGTGCAGACTGCAGTGCTGATTGCAGTGCAGTGTGCTGTGTGCTGTGCTTATTGGTTTGGCTTTGGCCGGGTTGGGTTTGGTTTTGGAACTACACTGCTTTTATCAAATACCAAAATAGATCTATTCTAAGCTCTCAGGAACTAAGCTCGTGCTGTGGTGTCTAGTTTATTAACTATTTGTCATTATCGGAGATGGCGTCCTCAAGGGTCGTAAAATTATTCAGAAACAATTCTGTCAATTTTATCAAGAATCACCAAGTTAGATCTGCAACTACTACACCCACAGGAGCACTTTTACCAGAGCCTCAGAAAACACCATTCGGTCTGGTAGGAATCGTTTGTGCTGTAGTCCCAGGACTATTAATTGGAGCGACCATCAGCAAAAACATAGCAAATTTTCTTGAAGAAAACGATTTGTTTGTTCCTAGTGATGACGATGATGATGATGACTAGGCCAAAAGTAGGACATTTTTCCGACTTCCTTGACTTGTAAGTTTAATTTCCCTTAACTTACATAGCCTACGTCATGTTTCGATAGCCATGGACCATAAATAAAATATGCTTATTAGTTTTTCTTATTCTTGTCTAGGCCAATTAAGTTGTGTTTATGGGGGTGTGACTTGTAGTTTTCTCAAAAGTTCATAAGTACTTTTGGCTTTATATATAGTAGCAAGTGGAACCCTAAGAATACATTTGCCTTCTTCAAGGTTTATTTTGCAAGACCGACACATTGTAAGGATTTGTAAGATAAATGCCTGGGTATAGTTTCTTAGCTGGGCTACGCTAATATCGATTGAAACTATCGATTCGATTAACTTAGTAAACCTTCATGCGATTTTTTTGACCATCAGCAAGTTTGGTTGGTTAGGTTAGGTTAGGCCTATGATAGTTTTGTTTTATACTTAATAAATATAAATATATTTTAAAATAGTGATTACTAATCAATATTTTCAATTTGATCGGGCTGCACTTTACTTGACGTCCTACACTCATTCGAATGAAAATGTCGATCGATATATCGATTAATCAATTGCTTCATTCGATATATCGTTTGGTTAGTTAGGTAAGGTTAACCTAACCTAACTAACCAAACGATATATCGAATGAAACAATCGAATGAAAATATCGAATCGAAAAAACAATCGAATGAGTGTAGGACGTCAAGTAAAGTGCAGCCTTTGATCGGACTATGGGAACAGGGGTTTAAGGTATGGGGGGTTTTTATGGGGCGAAAATTGGTTTTTCCCATTTTTGACCCTAAAAAACTTAAAATTTAGTATTTTCTTTCCAAACCATTTTGTAGAGCTTAACCCTCCAAGAGTGTCTTTAGTTTTGGTCTTAATGTTCGCCCATTTATTGCGCAATCGCAGGGTTTTATTAAAGTGTATCTTAGAAACTTAAAAACAATGTAAAGTATACTGTTTTATATATAAGTTAGGCTAATTTTGTTTGTAAAATTATGGGCTTCAATGTAGGAAATAAAAACATTAAAAAAAAAATGTTCAAATATGTTTGTGGGGTCAACATTTCTCAAAAATTATAAAATAAATGAAAAAAATTTATGTTTGCGCTCAATAAACTATTATAATTTATAGGTCTACAAATATTTTAAACTAGCCACTTTGTTCAGAATTTTATGAGGATTCCAAAAATATAATAATATAAGGAAGTAGCCTAGGTTTGCAAATAAATAAGTTATGGGCAAAAAACAGATTTCGGTACATAGCGTTTAGCTAAGAATGCATAGCCTAACCATAGCTAGGAATCTGGCTGATAATTTACATCAATATCACTACCTACTTTTTCAGGATCATCAACCAGCCCTTCAAAATCACTTAAATCTTCTTATAATGCACCACGTATAAGTTATCACTACTTTTGATTTTTAACACTAAAACAATGATAAGCGTAATAAAACACATCAGTCATCGGTGGTTAACCAAGCTGTTTACAAATACGCACGTCAGCTGTCTGCTACAATATTTTCGGAACTAAAATGAATAGCGCTTAGAGACAGACCTCCAGGAGAAAGCTCTGAATCTGTCAAATAAAACGATACCTAACTCGATCCAGTTCAATCCGATTTTGTCCCATCACTATACTAGTACAAGCGCTACGGTAAGCTGTCTGCTTGAGTCCAGACACCAGACATATCGCAGACGCGCCGGCACGGCAATTAGTACAGGTAAAATAGGGTTTTATAAACAACAAAATTTGTACATTCATGAAATTACACCTGTGAGTTACTAATAATATGAGAAATGAAGATCCGATGAGTCCCCAAAATTTTGGGCGTCCTAAGGCCCTTTTTGTTCCGAAGGGCCCTTGTTCCTGAATAATTTTGTTTTTACGTTTAAGGTCGAGTGAGGTGTGGTTTTCGATGGTTTTAGTCATTTTAAATCGATTGGAACTAGTTTTAAGTGTATTGATTCACTCCATACAGGGTGTTTTGAAATATTATTACTCTTTACGATATTTAAACGTTTATTCATAAAGTAATAAAATTAGTTACCTCCATGCTCTATATAAAAGGGGACTATTGAAAATAATTGTAATTCTTTACTACGTAAGGGAAAAGGATCACAAGGAGTAAGAGAAAATATTGAATACCCCCGTCACAGCAAACTTGCAGACCTAGCGAATTTCCGTTTTACTTACTTGTTATACTAATTTTCAATTAAATCTAAAGTAGCATTGCGTTTAACGATTACTTAGGTTTGCTGCTAAAAGGAGGCTAATAAAGTGTGTTTATAGTAAAATATTAATATCCTAGTATAAAACAAATAAATTTGACAAGTTTGATCAAAATATATTAACAAACAAACAAAATCATTTTACACTATTCTACAAAAGAATAACATGGGAATTTAAAATTTACCATTTTAGTACTGTATTTTTATCCGTAACTAATAACCATACAAAAACACGTTAATATACTAAATTATTTGTTTTTAAGCTATTTAAAATGTTCCAGAGAAAAATTGGGAAACTTTGTGTTTTGAGTATAAAGTAAATAAGAAAACCCAATTTTTACCCCATAAACCTCGTTCCCATTGTTCAGGACAAAAATGCTTGTAGGCCTACCGACAATGCTGCTCTGATGTCTTAGTGATGTCCTGGTCGTCATAACCACGAAAGATAACCGTACTTGTACTGATCGAAAATAAGTTTGAGGAACTTAAGATACAAGTTGCAAACGTCAGTATGTATGAAAGGTGTTTTTGTACCACATTGTTCGTGCTTTAAGATTGGTGTTGCCTGTTCTGCAACATGCAAGGTTTTAGGTTTGTAAAGGGGAATCCTGCTTGAACACCAACTTGGACAAAATCTGTAAAGATGGACAAGTTGCTAAGAATAATAAAATTGTTAATGAGTCGTCTGAGAATAATTATTGTGTTGATGGAATTGTAAAGAGAGATACTACGGAAATTGTAGCAAAATAGCTTTATAGCTTAAGTACTTCATTTTAATATGTAGGCCTAATGTAAGGTTTTATACAAATACAATTGTTTTAATTTTTAATCAATGTAAAAAAATAACTTAAATACTAGCTACTTAAGAAAAATACATATCAATTTGAAATAATTGTTCTTAATAGATTTGCATAAAAAACACGTTGAAAGATTATTCACACCACCTTAAAAGTTGAAATGTTTGCTTAGTAACCTATGTTATTACGTTATAGTGTAAAACTTAATCCATCCCCTTTTAGCAAACATCCCATATAGGAGATAAGCTATTACCGAAGGTCTTATGGTAAAACATAGACCCGAAACCGATTTACTTTTTCATTTCGATGCCCCCAGAAGCCTAAAGCACTATCCACTCAAAATATTATATATGTGTTTATATAGGCCTACATATATATAATATAATATATCCATGTTATATACGTGTCCGTAAACATGATAACTCGAGTAATTTTGGTTCAATTTTAACGAAACCGACATAATCGGTCCATGGAACAGGGTGTTATGTGGTAAAAATTTGTAATCTTTGACCCTCAAAAGACAAACTTTCCCAATTTTTCTGTAGAGCATTTTAAAGAGCTTAAAGAAAACAAATAATTTAGTATATTAACGTGTTTTGTAAGTGTATTAGTTACGAATAAAGTTCAAAAATTGTAAATTTAATATTCCATGTTATTCTTAAGGAGAATAGTGTAAAACGATTTTGTTTGTTTGTTTTTAGATATGTCTTAATAAAACTTGTCAAATTTATTTGTTTTATACTAGGCTATTAATAATTTACTAAAAACACACTTTATCAGCCTCCTTGTAGCAGCAAACCTAAGTATTCATTAAACTCGATGCTATTTTAGATTTAGGCCTAATTGAAAATCGGGGAAATGAAAATATGCTTAGTCTGCAGGTTTGCTGTGACCGGGTATTTAATATTTTCTCTTACTCCTTGTGATCCTTCCCTCTTATATAGTAAAGAATAACAGTTATCAATAATAATCTCCTTTTATATAGAGCATGGAGGTACGGTAACTAATTTTATCACTTTATGAATAAATGTTTAAATATCGTAAAAAGTAATAATATTTCGAAACACCCTTTATGGAGTGGTTTAATAGGCCTACACTTAAAGCTAGTCCCAATCGATTTAAAATAACTAAAACCATCGAAAACCACACCTCACTCGACCTTAAACGTAAAAACAAAATTATTCAGGAACAAGGGCCCTTCGGAACAAAAAGGGCCCAAAAAAGGGCCTTAGGACGCCCAGAATTTTGGGGACTCATCGGATCTTCGTTTCTCATATTATTAGTAACGCACAAGTGAAATTTCATGAATGTACAAATTTTGTTGTGTATATGGAGTGTTTTTGTATTATTTTACCTGTACTAAATGTCTCGTCACTACCGCGGAGCGCTGGGCACTGAGGTGATTCGAACGTTGCGTTGCAGTGAGATCGGTGACTATCCTCTAGTACCGAGTGACTATCACTGTACTTAAAGGGGCTACCCCTAACTGTAATTCAATTTAAAAAAAAGAGTATTGTTTATTAAAAATTGTTTTTGCAAGACCACGTCGCTGTGAAACAGTTAAACAACATATTTTTTTATTATAACTAAATTTTTTTGAATTGATTTTTTGGCTTTTGGAGGCCCCCTTGAGCCGGAGGCAATCGGGGATCGCCGACCAGCCGCCCTGGCCAGACCGTGCCTGGAGTAATATCAATCAATATATCGAATTAAACAATCGAATAATCAATATTACTCATTCGGTTGTTTGCGCCAACAGATATGGAAGTGTACCCCTCTAAACTATTAACATTTTACAAAAAAAAGAAAAAAAAACACCTTTTTACCCTCCCTGTTGTAGCAAACCTAAGTACTCGTTAAACTAATGTTATTTAAACTAAGTTTAGCTGTTACCCACGGGATTCAACCCGTTTGACCTCATAAGTAGGTCCTATTATAAAAAACTATTGATTGGTTAAGTTAAGCTGAAATAAACATAACAGAATACAGCATTACAAACAAATAATCACAACAGATTTTAATGAGGTAATAAATTGAAAGAATAACATACAAATAAAAACAGCTGAGGTATTTTTAACATTAAGTAGGCCTATATGGAAAGTTCCACGATTACTAGAAAAATACCGGTATGGATCATAAACATAAATAAATGACGTTGTTGGCCCGAATCCTATATAATAGCATTGAACATATGTTTTGGCCGTTCCATTTAAGCAATGTCAAATAATGTTTATTTTCGGGCCAAAAACGTCATTTGTTTATGTTTATGATCCATACCGGTATTTTTCTAGTAATCGTGGAAAGTTCCCTTTGGAAAGCAATTACGACCTTAAAGGGCAATTTATGAAAAAATGGATAATTTTGCATTATAAGCATTAGAAGCCATTTACTGCTGATTTTTGTTTACTTCAATACAGCTGATCTTGATTTATCACTTAGCCAATAAGCAGTATTACATTTGGATTACTCATTTGCCAGTCAATTCCGCAATGAACTGTATACTATGTAAACCATTAAATATATATACCAAATACTTAATAAAAAAACCTTATTAAAAATCTATTAAATAAATATATAAACGTTACCTATAATAATTCAGACTTTTAGTTACGTCTTAGAAAATCAGATTGTTTTGTGATGTGTCTGATGATGCCAGCATAGCTGGCGAAAGGCCTCATAAAAATTAAAAATTCAGAAATATTGGTGAAGTTGTTATTTTAAATTAATACGTCTTAGAAAGTTGAAATAAATTATTTTAGAGTGAAACTTTTTAAAGTTGTGTATTTTTAACGTTTAACATGAAATAACCACATTGACTAAATAAAACCCTTCCAGGGCTATGGACGGATATATCCGTCAATCTTTCAGGGCTGAAAACGGATATATCCGTCCCAAGAAATTTCTTTTCTGGGATAAAGACGGATATATCCGTCCAAAAAACAAATTGATATATATTGTTTATAATAGGGTAATAAACATTACACTACATTATAAATATGTTATTTTGTTTTTGTGGGTGGTAATAATAATTGCCGCAGCTGTTTCGGCTATTTTGCACCATAGAGTGTGTGTAAGTAAATATTGCTGTCACTTCACACATGGTTGTTAGTGAGTGATGTTCATTTTGTATTTTGTACCTTTTTTATGTAATTGAGTTAAATTTACTAACGCAAACGATCTGAAATTTGAAGATGTTATTGAGATGCTTAATAAAAGTATGTCTGAGGGGGGTTTTATACTTGGCAGTGAAAATAATAGTATGGAATGTATGGACATGATGAACCTGAAGAACAGTCTTTACGTAGTGGAAGTCTTGGCGGGGAATGGGATTGAGGACATGGGAGTGGAACTGAGTGGTTTTATTAGATTTACTTCAGAATGATAGATAAATTTTTATGGATAAAAAATAAAACAAGGGAAGGAATAGCCTAAGGTTGACGGATATATCCGTCTGCCGCCCACAAGAATATACTCAAGATTATTGGCAGTGTTCATATTTTGTGATCATCACTGAGGGCGGCAGACCGATATATCCGTCCACCTTATATTTTTTGTGGACCAAAGACGGATAAACTTATATCCGTCAAATCAAATTTTATTTTCTTCATAACTTTTGTACAAAAATTAGTTCAGCCCTAAGGAAAATCTTTTTATGATCCATGAATTATTTCAAGTGAAATAAGTACAAAACACAACCACTTTAGTTTTTGATTTTTGGCAAAAAATAATTAACCTTCATTTAGCCCTGGACGGGTTAAACGATTCAAGATTAAGTTGGAAAACGGTAATAGCGTTTTTAAATATTAGAATTTGTTTTACATTATTGAGCTTTTAGCGAATTTCCCATATAGGGAATAAGCTATTACCGTAGTACTCATGGTAAGACCTGGACCCGGGACTGATTTACTTTTTCGTTTTAAGGTCCCTAGAGGCCAAAAACACCATCCGTTCAAATTCATATATATATATATTTATATATATATATATTTATATATATATATATTTATATATATATATTTATATATATATATATTTATATATATATATATTTATATATATATATATTTATATATATATGTGTCCGTTAGCGCGATAACTTGAGCAAAAATGATCCGATTTTGATCAAATTTGGTATAAACGTGTAAACTTACATTTATTCAAACGAGTTCGCGAACCAGCATGATCGGACTATGGGAACGGGGTTTTATATGGGGTTTTATGGGGTAAAAATAGGTTTTTCCCATTTTTGACCCTAAAAACACAAAATTTTACAATTTCTTTCCAAACCACTTTGTAGAGCTTAAAAAAACAAATAATTTAGTATGTTGAAGTGTTGTTGTGCGCCTAATGGTTACGGAGAAAATTCCAAAAAATTGTAAATTTAAAATTCCTATGTTATTCTTATGGACAATAAGTCAACTGTTGTAGTTTGCTTGTTTATGAACATATTTTGATCGAATTTGGAAAATACTTTCATTCCTTACTAAACTATTAACATTTAAAAAAAAACAAAAAAAAACACTTTTTTACCCTCCCTGTTGCAGCAAACCTAAGTACTCGTTAAACTAATTCTATTTAAATAGGAAATAAATGTGATATTTTTTATGGAGGCATTTTAGTGTAAATCCAATCAGGTTCCAATGGGAATTCGCTTAGTCTGCAGGTTTGCTGCGGCGGGGGTATTTAGGGACTTATGTCCCTACAAGCCACTAGTTAAACATGAATTTACTAAACTACAACAATTATAACTAAATGTACAATGTTTATTGACAGATGCAAAATTCTTAAGAGTAATTGATATTATTGTTTATGATTATTAGATTTAAAGTTGTATGAAGCTCGTTGTCGTTGCAATGTTTTATGCTCTTTGTTTTTGTAAATAAATAACTGTATTTGCCATTGTGGTATAACTATATATTCTATATAACCACCTTAATTTAGCACTATTCATTTTTGTTTGGCTACCAGCAATTTGACGTAGTATTTGATTTTATAATTATATACAGATTTACTGATTTGACTAATGACTGTGTTTGTATTTTATTCTTATGGGCCTAACTACAAACCGTTAGTTATTATTTTTGATGCAAATGAATACATATGTTAATATGAATATTGATATGATGCGGTTGGTAGACTAAAAATGTCACCAACAAACATATATTAACTTCCTGGGTATATAATTCGGAATCCCTAAGCAGGGCTCGACAGGAGGAACAGGAGTCGATCCGGCCAGTAGAGGCTGGGAGTGCGTTCAAGTTGCCAGAACCGCATTACGAAGCTTGTGTTATACCTGTTGTATTATCAAAACTACAATAGCTATTTTTTTTCTAAAAATAAGTTTCAGTAAATATAGTATTCTGGCTACATTTCTTTACATAACGCACCTGCCTTAAAAAAAAAAAAACTTCCTCGCAGGGCCGGTTCTAGGAATTTTTCAGAGTTAAGCGAACACCCGAATCAGTGCCACTTAGAATGTTGTGACAAGTGGCGCTGCGCGCTTCTCGAGTATTATATGGTCAATGGCATTAGTGAGTGAGTCGTGAAATAAAACCCACAGGCGCCGCGCTGTACGCTGCCGACTGCCAAGTGTCAGCTCACTACAAATCGAAACTGCAAATGGCATTGAGTCCTTGAGTTGTAGTGCTGTACAAATATATGCATTTTTCAAGTGCTGTTGGTACAAACAGAATAAATGCCTTTATTGTGGTGCTTTGAATACTTGAACTCTGAGCAAAAATAAACAAAATTACATAAAAAACAAAAATGTTCCGTTGGCGCCACGGCGCCACTTTTTCGTGGCGCCAGTATGCGGCCGCGTAGTTCGCGTATGGGTTAAGCCAGCCCTGCTTCCTCAGAATGAAACTTTTTGATGTCACCAATTAAAATGTATAAAACAGTTTGAACTTTATTTAATTTTTATAATAGCAAACTATTTAAATTTTTTGTTTATAAACATACCATTATCATCCTACACTAATCTATAGCAAGTATGTAAAGTTTCAAAGCATTTTGAGCACGTTAAGGTAATAAAACAACAGTGTAAATGAAATGGGAGCACTGAACATTTTAAAACACTTCTCTAGGCCCGCTCGACGTTTCTATACATATCCAAGAAGGCCGACATGGCTTCAATACCCGCAATGTAAAGGCTTATATGGCATAGCCAGTCTATTTTAATTCTGTGGTCGCTGAACCAACTAGTCGGTTGGTGTCCAACAATCGGCTGTTTTTAATGAAATGTTCTAATCACTATATAACAAGCCTATACATTAGTCACATATCATCAGGTAAATTACACGGCTACTGGTAAATACTCTCCACAAATAGTGACCATGTTTAGATTCTATTAACTGAACGATAATTTTTTAAGTTTAGGTAATGTACAGTACCAGTAGAATTTTAATAACAAACAATAACTAGGCTATAATTTTAAGTCTTGGGAAGCTGGTAGGCCAAATTAAGGAAAAGGCTTGTCCATTGTAAGACCAAATAATTAGTTGGGTAGTGAATCAGAGTAATCATTATTAAATGTGAGACAGTCAAAGTAGGACAGGTTGTTACTTCATGCTGTATTTTATTCTCCGAGACTTCTGTGAAAGTAAAGATATTTCTGTCGTTTTCAGGATACCAACCAAAAGTTGTGAAATAATAATAATAAGTAATTAATTGTATGTTTCAGATGAGCAGTGAATTATGTTCTAGCAGTGAAAATATTTGCGCAACCTAAGTTAAATAGCACCCTTGGATCTCAGGAGAATCTGTAGCCACAAGAAGTCCAGATAACCAGCGTAAGCTTGCAATCTAAAATAATTTGAAGTTACTTCATGTATATGTATCGTTACTATTAAGTTTTTTTTGTTAATATTATATGACTATTTAAAATTGTATTCTTTCAATACTTACCTTATTTAAGGTGTTAGTAGGACGTAAAGCTGGGTTTTCCTAGACGCGGAGTCGGCCAGCGGAGAGCGGACAACGGAGAGCGGAATTGAAATTAACATGGCATTCCGCTCCGCTGCTAGGAAAACAGTAACATTAAATTACCTAAGACCAGCTGAGTCCGCTCTCCGTTGTCCGCTCTCCGCTGACCGACTCCGCGTCTAGGAAAACCCAGCTTAAGCTGGAGGAGAGGGGTACAGTATCACATTGAGCCTCATCAAGAGGAGACAAGTAATGAATTCACACTTCACTAGCAAATTGGCATGATTTCAGCTAAGGAATTATTCTAATAATAAAATAGTTCTGAAATCGTTCAAAAGAAGAGAAATTATGAACCATGGATGCAATTGAGACATTAAATAAAATAAATATTAACTAAGTTTTTTGTCGGTTCAGTTTTTTTTTTAATTTTGGTTCTCAATCCCCGAACAGACTTCTAATTGTTTCTATGCGAGTGGTATTTTTATGAAGTAATTATTAAACACTTTTAGGGAAAGCATTCTTCAAATCCTTATTTAATGCCGGAGATTGAATCTACCACTTGTCCCGAAAGCCAAGATCCGCAACACACTTAAAGGACATATTCGTCGTAATAAATATATACTTTTGGCTATATTCAAACATTTCCTCCACCTTAAACATTTACATAAAAAAGCCATTTATGATGCTGTCAACTAAATTTAAAAATAGGTACTGTAATTGAATTCACCATCTAAGTTATCCAGCCAATCAGGAAACGCGGAGAAAAGTCTGTAAATGGTTTTGTATAGGACTGGAGAGTTCAAATTTTCTTCAATAATCATCACATATGGCTTATAGTCTAGGGTTTTACTCATTTTACTCATTTACTTATAGTTATAGGTTCTGTTGGTACTCTATTAATTTTGTCACCTACGGTAAGAAAATCATGATTGCAGGAAATTATAGTGTAAGACTAAATTACTTACGTAATCCCATGACAGCTCAATAAACTTAAAGGGATATTGTCGTGATTACGGGTCGTGATCATAGATGTCATGATTGTGGGAGATGATCATAACAAGAGATGCTTAAAACATACGTATGTTGTTATGATTGCAATATATGCTTATATATGCTTATATGATTATATATATGCGTAGGGGTTGTATGATGTCACAATTGCAATAGACACTCACAGATGATACTGTGATCGGGTATGATTTATATTTTTTCAGAGAAGATAATTGTCGAAGATGATGAAATGAAAAGAAAAATGTCTTTTATTTAAGAGGCGAAGTTAGGACTTGTAAGTCCTCTCTACCACTTAACCTCTAATGATGTCTGATGGTAAAATATGATAACTTAATTATGATGTGTGATAGTACAAGGTGATTTGATTACTGATGTTGTCACCATTGCTTTTCCAACTTTTCTGTGGTTGTCGCCTTTCACTTAAATCCATATCTCTAGTTTAAATATGAAAAGAACATGAGTTTCAACTGACACCCAAGGCTAGAGTTTCAGCCACTCTAGGCACTATTCTAGCTGTCACCCTCACCCTACTACTATGTCAGCCGTCCCCTCGGTTACCGGTTTAGCCTTTTTAGTTTTATGTCTTTGTTCTGGTCAGACAATGTTTTATCACGCTTTGAAAATTAGTATGATCTGCAAAATCTTAAGCGTGGTCATTTTTACAAATTTAAAGCTCCAAATATATTTTTATCAATATTAATGAATATGTTGAATAAATTATGTACTTACTCTTTATGTCAGGCTGTTTTCCACCTCATCAAAGGCTAATTCCTTTTGCAACTGTAGGGGTAGACAGATAGACGGCAGTGTGTGTTTGCCTTTATAGTTAAAGATTTGAGTAATAAAATAAATAAAAGATAATATAAATAATAAAAGATTTCAGTAAATAAAATAACAAGTAATAAAAAAATAAGCGTTCTTGGGAAATAGATAAAATTCAACACCTTTAACAAAATTAACATTATATATTTATTTAAACATCCCATTATAAGCTAAGTTAAACTAACATCAATAAATTACTTTCATCAGCAGACTGGCAAGAGTAAATAATACAAGTCAGGTGGGTAAAGTGTCTCATTTGGTTAGGAATACTACAAAGTCAATACACTACACAATTGTACAAATGGTGATTATAGTCACTAAACATCAGTCCATTAGAACGGGTTCTGAGCAAAGTTGAAGATCTCAGTTGACTGAAAACTTCCTGCAAGAAAAAAAAAAATATTAAAACCCAATAACATAACTATGTTCTCAGCAATAACTGTAAGTTGTAGTTAGAGTAGGCCCCTCAAGATTTCTCCCAACATCAAAATGTTAATGACCCCAATCCAGTACATGCTTTATTTACACATGTATGCCAAATATTTGTTTAAAAAAAATAATATTTTTAACCAGCTACATTTTATCTACTTGGTAGTTACACAATTAAAGTAATATCTGATTCTTTTTATTATTACAACTGAGAGATATGTAGGAAACTTAATTCAAAATCAATACAGTTGAACCTCGTTTGTACGAACCTCGATAAAACAAATTCCTCGATAAGACGAATTTTTTTTAATCCCCTTGACACTTTCATATAGGTCAATGCTAAAAACATCTCTATACAACGTAGCCTAGTAATTAAGTTAAAAACCTCCATAAGACAAATTTGTTTGTGACATGGGCTAGGACTGATTAACCTCTATAAAACGAATATTCTTAGCACAAAACCTCTACAAGACGAATTTGACCTCTATAAGACGAATTTATCATAATCTTAACCTCCATAGTACGTTGTTTTAAAAACAAACAGAAGCTTGTCTCAACATGAAACCCCCACCTATCCCTCCTCCTTCCTCAGTCATTGTTTGAAGAAACCTTGGAGCGAGGAGAAACCTCTATAAGAAGAATAACAGCAGCATTAAACCTCGATAAAACGACCCTCTTTATTAAGAATACCTCTATAGTACGAATTTTTCCCGTACCCCTTGAAATTCGTCTTATAGAGGTTCAACTGTATATCTTTAGCTATAAATAAGCGTACAAAAAGTCAACTTTTTATAGTAGAAGGAGCCTCATTTAGTCATTATTTTATTATATTTTTCAATAAAATCAGTAAGTAATTTGATCTTAAAATTAAACAAACAAAGGTGTTTTACACAGACATAAAAATAAAGTTAAAATAAGAAGAGATGTAGGAAATAAGGTGACATTTAAATTAATTTTCCTTACACTACTTTTGTTAACTGCTTGTTTATCACCAATGGAAGGTCACATTTACGTACAGCTGTCTATTGTTTACTGGGGAAGGTTTTCCAATGTAAAACATATTTTCCATTAACAGAAGGCAGCTGTAGGGTATGCCAATGTCACACACATACTGCATAATCAATTTAAATTTTGCACTTTGAGTAGTAGACCTAGTTTTTTAAAAATTGTCCTAATTTAAGAAAAAAAGTTAATATCCTAATGATTATTCAGTAACGTATTGAAAATTATCTACTGTAGTTCAGAACTCAAATGATAGCTGTAGGGTATGCCAATGTCACACGCATACTGCATAATAAATTTAAATTTTGCACTTTCAGTAGTAGACCTAGTTTTTTTAAAAATTGTCCTAATTTAAGAAAAAATGTTAATATCCTAATGATTATTCAGTAACGTATTGAAAATTATCTACTGTAGTTCAGAACTCAAATGATAGTGTTTTTCATATTTTCGTACAAAGTGAAGTGTGGGACTTGTTGACCATAACATTCATAATTTATGGTCTCGAACATGTGAAATTCCACTTTCTCCTCTTGTTATGGAAATATGCTATTTAATCATGTTTATTAAAAATCAGTAATTATACTTGCACAAGTCACATAACAACCTGTAATAAAGCTTTTAAAGACAGAAAGGAGAGGAAATCCCAAACAACCGATAGCGAAATAAGAAAAAGATTACCACAATGTAAGACAGAGTTTGTTGAAAACGATTAAGTCAGCATAAATTACCATTGATCTTAACACTACTTAACAGTGATGACTGGCTGAGAGAGGATAGGGAGATGGTTAGATTAGGTAATGACGACAGCTTTGTGAACACACGGGCCCGCGGGGCCTTGCAGTAGAGCTGGCCACAGGTAGGTGCGGATGTGATCACTGTCCTGGCTGGCAGAGTGGAATCTCACATGTAGCTCTCTGCGGAACACTCGCTGCTCATACTCCAGCACATACGGTGGACTCTGCAACATAAAGCCACTTGTTGATAATATGATTGCGAAGGGGCAAACATTGTTCCTACAATATCTATCACCAGTATCACTCTTGGTTCAGCAGCCACATTGTGAGTGTTTGGTACATCCCTTTTTGTTGCTTCAGACTTCAGAGCATGTCAAACTTCAGGAATCTGTTTCACACTAGTGTAGGCCTATCACATTTTGTCAAACGACAAATGAATGTCACATGGAATTGAATACATCATGAACGCTTTTTTTAAGTTATATCCTTAGCATGTTTGTTACAATTTTCTGTGGCGAGTGTAAAATCTTGTCAGAAAACATTGTTATAAATTGACCTTGCCTATATTAGTTTGTCAAATGACATGTTGTAGCATCAAACCATAGACAAAAAGAATGAAATATAGACTGTCAACCGTGCTGCGGTTACCATGGATACCATAGGTTCCGGCGCGTACGCTGTAACTACCGTGGCGCTCACAGCGGTGTGCGCCAGAACCTATGGTAACCGCAGCACAGCTGACGGTCTATATTTAATTCTTTTTGTCTATGATCAAACACAGACAAACCAGTCGCCCGTGACAAGTATTTTTTGAGAGGGATGTTGTGTTGTGTTGGACTGATGACTGTGTAAGTCTCAGTTTGTTTAGGAGGTAGATGTTTCAGATATAAGATACACCAGTGTGTAACGCCCAACAACAAACCATCTAGCTTATATTGCAGATGAATTAAAATAAACCTACATCAATTTACAGAAATTGAAACTCTGTTTCAAAAAATAAAGTTCAAATTTCCCATATCTTCATTTAGACACAGAGTGTGTGTGCCTCACTGGAAAGATACAATTTGTCCACAGTCTGTTCCTCTGCTTACAACTGGACAAAAATAATTAAAACTTGAACTTTGAAACTAAAACTATACTGTGTGGCGTTTGCTGTGCCTTTGGTCTATACTTTGTTTAGTATTTATTATGAACAGCTGTTGCTAGTTTTGTTGAAAATAGTCAGTTTTAACTACGTTATGATTTAGTACAGTTCTTTATTCGTTTGTAAATAAATCATTATCAAATATTTGTTCATATAGTGGTGAAATTAATTCATACAGATTAAACATCGCTATAACTGTATAGTAGACTCCATTTCATTATATTCCCAAGATTATACTTGTTTAGATACTTGGCTGATGTTCTATTACTAGTACTCTCTCATGAGTAAGGTCAAATTATAACGATGACTGAAAATGTATAAAATGTTCCAAATTTGGTGCAGCTGATCTAGAATGAGGGAATATCAAAAGTTAATAAGTTAAGTTAATGTTCCCTACCCGGTGGATCATTTATGAGCCGTGCCCGGTCATTGTGGTAGCCCGCAATATTAAAAGAAAGTCCTTTGCTGTGGCCCAGATATGTGTATGACCAACCCCAAAGTCTGGATAAAAGGTGTTTTGTTTACAAGTTTTAATTAGGTACATTTTAGCTTATATATCATTCTGGTGGCAAATATGACCTTTATTGGATTGAGGCTATTTTTATTCTACATAAAACACTTAACTACTGTCACTAGACGTCTCACTTCAACCATCTACAACACTAAAAACATGTGTTAACACTGTTTAGGTTAGTTTCCGGTTATGAAAACTGGCTGCAAGTCAGCTGTGGTTGTCCAGGAGTATCAACCTAGCAACACTGTATTTACCCTATAAGTCAAGAAACTCAAAGACCATACATACAGTATATGCGGCCACATCCCTATAGACCGCTACAAAAGTTTCAAGCCTCTAAAGTAGACGGGTATCTCACAATCGACCATTTAGTTACACTGTAACACCGGCTCATATTATAGTCCCCGGGCTATTTCAACGGACTCGGCCGACTCAGATTTTAGCCGTCAGGCTATATTTATGGATTTTTTTATTCATACCGGTAGTGAACGTGCTAATGCTGCATGAAGACATTTCCATCATCTAAATTTAATTTGTAAAAAACTAATTTTTCTTGATGTTTTAGGATCTGGAATCTGATCCCATTTTTATGTGAGAAAGGACTGAAAACATAAAAAGATTAGTACTCTAACCCAGCTAAAGCTGGACAAGTAAGAATTTTGTTGACTATTTAATTATGGTAGATAATGTTTAAAATAATCCCTTTTAAAACATATACTTACCATCACCAAAAATTAACTTTAAGCAAATACCTGCATGGCTATTGGCTAGTTTTGTGTATTGTACCTGGTTGGTAAGAGCCCAGGCAAGTCTGACTGAGTCCCTGATGTACTGTTGTAGTCCTCCACAGCTCTTGAGACAAGGGTAGTCGTACAGCGTCGCCCACAACTGAGTACTCACCTCCTGCAAGCATCACACTACTGTCAGCTATCTCATTCTTAAACCATCTTATGTCATTTAAAAGAAAACTAAGCAAGTTTAGGAATTTTAAAGCTTATAAAAAATATTGGCTGTTAAAATCACATAGTTAAAACATTATATTGTTAAGGTTAAGCCTCCAAGTCACTGATGAATACAAGTAGCCTACTGGTGAAATTACCTGCTGTCAGTTGTCAAGTGATCTTTATGACCTTAAAAGTTGATTGGTTTCGATCCTCACGAGATCATCTTCAGGCAAACGTGGTCATCTTCATTTCGTGTTTGCGAACACGTTGGTTTTTAACCAATCTGATCGGTAATAGTTATTGGGAATTTTTACGTGTTTTGTGTGAGTGCTTTGTAAAATACAACTCAATGTATTTTTTTTTTTTTACTAATGTGTTCGCAAAAACTAAATGAAGATGACAACATTTTGCCAGAAGATGATCCTGTGAGGATGGAAACCGGTTGCCTTTTTAAATTGCACCAGTACACGTATTAAAACATTACTTAAGTACTTCATTTCCACATTTTTCCACTACGCACGTTCAATGTGGCTTGTCAGTTTGATGTTAACATGGCAAATCGATTCTGTGTATGCATCAGTTTGTTCAAATGTTTCAGTCCAGGGAGCCGAAACCCCACGGGACTGAGACAGTTCTAAGACAATGTCCTCTTCTGACTTTGATCTAATTGAAGTTCAGTGACTCAAATCAGCTGTTATGTGTAGGGCTATATTTAGGGTACATCAATAGTCAACGGTCATTTTATGTAGGGTACATTTATAGTCAGTTTTCAAATAACTCCACCAGGCTTTGTTAAAATAGTATTGTATTTCGATTACATAGTGTGGTCATTGCAACAAGATAATATAAGCCAACATGTTCTGCTTGCATTGACCTACTTCTTTTAACAATTAAGCTCCTGTAAATTACCATACAGTAATATCTTTAATGTGTAAAGCTACGAAATTTTTTAGCTAAAGAAATTTTTTTAGTCACCTTAGCCTTATTGAAATTATACATCACCAAACTAACAATGTGTATGTGATTGCTGCAGCAGTAAAAGGAATTGAGATCTCTAACTGAAGAACCAAATTTTATGTGTATTGCAAACATTATATGTAATTAACTAAAAGAGAATTTTTATAACTGAAATTAGAGTTTCTAAGACCCTTTTGGTGTAATAATGTATGTGTTGGTCAGGGATCACAAAAATCAGATTAATTTCCAAGTAATATTTCTTTCTACACCCTTAAATTTAGTTCTATGAATCCCATTTGAATTCGATCTGTTTTCATTTGTATTTAGGAATAAATAAGTATTTTCAAATATAAATAATTTTACGCTCGTATAATGATGTTATCAAAACATCTGTTATTCATTGAAAACGATTCCATGGCGCCATTCCCATAGTCAAGTCTTAGCTATTGAGATCCTACTTACATCAATGGAGTGAGTTAGGTCGAAGGTGTCGACTGTCCGATGCAGGAAAGTGCTGATGGCAGCCTCTAAATCACTGTGAGCTGAAGATATTGGTGCTGGATTCAGCAGAATCCTCTGAACCTGCTCTCGCTTTGTGTTCAGTAGAGAAGTTACTGACCTAAATGCCAACTGCAACAAAAATAATAATTAGGAAAGTAACTTTTTAATACCACAGTTAAGTCAATCCTACCATAGTGAATCTTTGCACAGAACAAATTTCAACATTCAAGCAAAATTAATACATTAGCCTTCATCACCAAAAGAGAAAGTTTTAGTCGACTCCAGCACTCCAAAACTGACGTCAAAACCAAAAGGGCCAACTAATACGAAAACAATATCTGGTGTTGCGCGGGGGCCGTAGCACACAAATAGTTTTCCCGCAACTATTCAAACGATCGAAGGGCCACCCGCCAAGCCAAAATTCTTGTCTCTCTTGCAGGGTGCGGCGAGAGGCAGGGGTCCATTGAAGGACTACCGACCGACCTGGGGTAGCGACTAGCGAGCCACTGGATGGTTGAAGGTTTGGCCGGTTATTATTATTCGCCACCGGACATGGTTTTGTATCACTCCGCACCGGATAGGTTGTTCTCTTTGCCGCCGGACCGTGCGCCAATCATTGGCCTCTCAAACAGAACTTTACATCATTTGTGGACACGTAACAGCGTTATTTGTTAAGATATAGCTTTGAAATTTATAATTTGTATTTTTAACATAATCGACTCGAGACCGAGGTTTTTTAATTTTGAAAATCCGTCTTTGTTTTCTTTCAATAGTTAGTTGAATTTTAGTCATAGTCAAGAATCTTTATTCTTACTGTAGTATACATGGTTGTACATGAATAGTGTCAAATAAATTAAAACTAAATGCTTAAAACTATGATGGAGCCATTTTCAATTAATCTAAAGAATATAAGGACAGGTACATTAAATATTCCTTGAGACGTTTTTTAAAAATGTTGGGGTTTCTTCTGTTTTAATTTTCAAAGGAATACATTTAAAAAATTTATATCCTGCATTGACAGTATTTTTTTGAAGATCTCTAACTTATGTTTTCCAATTTATTACAAAGTTATTTTTGTTACGTGTATTATAGTTATTGTTATGTTTATCAAACCCCTTCGATAAATCCATGAACACTCCCAACACCTGCTCACTCTTGTCAATTGACTCAATGGCTGATTCGACAAAGCTAACAATCACTGTAATAGTGGACTTAGCTTTCCTAAATCCGTGTTGAATGTCTTCTAGGATTGAGTTTTCTTTTAAGAAGGCAGTTAATTAATTAGAAACAATGTTCTTGTAAATTTTAGATATTGGTAACAGCAAAGATATTGGTTGATATTTACCAATATCTGTAGCTTCATTAGATTTAGGAACTGGAATTACTTTAGCATTTTTTAAATTGTCTGGAAAGATGCCACTAACAAAAGATTAAATGTGAGAGAATTTTACTGAGCTGCTTTCTTAAAAATTTTATGACTGACATTGGAATACCGTCGTGGCTGGAGAGGATTTCAATTCAATTTCATCTTTAGTAGTGTCACTAAAATATAATTGATTTTGAATATTGACACAGGTTGAGCCGGCCGGAGCCAGTTGTTCATGGATCTCTGGAAGTCTGTAGGCTACAAGGGAAACATACTAATAGGCCAATCTTTTTTCTTTCAAAACTAGTCGTAGGGGGAGGTATGGGCAATGTCAGAATTGGTCACCTAAACATACGCTCTTTGAACACTGGATTCACTGAAATGTGTGAACTTGTTCTTGATTCAAATTTTGACATTTTTGGTGTGACAGAGACCTGGCTTCACCCTGACACTCCCTCAAACAACTTCAACACACCAGGATACAGTTTGTTGCGCTCTGATCGCCACCACATTTCTGGCTTATTTGAGGAGGAGGAAGCCGGTGGGAGCATTGCTTTATCATTGTTGATCAGGGAAGGAATTATGTATGACCAACAATATTTTCCAGCCAACCTTCCACCTGTTATAGAAACACTTTCTGTTGTCGTAAGACTAAAAGGCCAGAGACTGGGTCTGTGTGTAGTATACAGGCCTCCAAATGTACGATACACTAACCTTGCTTCTTTGTTTCACTCCCTATTTGTTGACTTAGCAGTTGATGTCGACTCTGTGATCTGTCTAGGTGACACAAACGTTGATCTTATGTCAAAAACTTATGTTAATAAATGAGACTACGAGGGTGACAGCAACTTCAGCCACCTTGTTAGACCACATAATCATGGACAGGTCGGTTGAAGTCAAGAGGACCGGCGTTATAAATGCACCTAGCACATTAGATCACAGAGGGAAGTCAATTACGGACCACAAGCTTATTTTTTGTGAATTGATCCTAAGAAAAGAAAAAAAGAAACCAAAGTTGATCAGATACAGGGATTTTTCAAAATTCAATGTTGACCAAGCGGTAAGAGAACTTTCTGAAATAGATTGGAAAAAGATGTTGTGTTATGCCTCACTGACTATATTAGTTTTAAAAACCTCAATATCTATTTAAATTAACTTTTGCTGAAGGACTGGTTTTTATTTATTTGTTTTGTCTTAGTATTTAAATTTAAAGTCATATGTTGAATTGTTTCAAAATGTAAATAAAGTTTAGTTTGTTGTTTTGTTTTGCATTGAACACAAGCTCAGTTTTATTCTGCTAAATTTTACTAGCATTTTGTCATTTCTGAATTTAATTCACTAACAAAATCGTCCGTGATATCACTATCAACCGTGAATTGCGTATCAGTGACGACTGCAATTGGCGACCGTGACAGGATTGACATCAGAAATGACAAAACTAGAAGATGACTCGACCATAATGCAGGGGAATGATCTGGAGGGATGTGGAAAAACGGCTTCAGGAGGCGGAGGCGACTTGGAGAGGCGCCTTCGTTTGGACCTTAAGGAAGAAGGTGAAGACCATAATGCATACAAGTTGCTACCACTGGTAGGAGGAACTACGCAGATGGTACAACAACCACGAGCAGCGGATACGGTGAGTGTGGTTCTGGAGAAGATTTTAGCACAAGTACAGACTCAGTCAGAAAAAATGGATTCTTATTTGGCAGATATTGACAATACAATTTCGTCCTCAATAAGAAAAATTACTCAAAAACATTCAAAATTATATGCAAGAGTTGGACCATTAGAGTCAGATGCTGTCATTGAAACTTTTAAAGATCCAAAGCTGGAAGATGGAGTGAATACTAGCACTGATGAATCAAGTGATTTGGACATCAGAGTCGATGTCATTGAAACGAAGCTTAGCAGCGGGCAGGATGACGCGGAGAAGGACAAGATGGTCTTGGACTACTTGGAGGATCAGCGAATGGATTCCACGGAGCAAACTGTGTTGGACATTGGACCAATCTCTGGCTCTATGCCCTTCAACAAGAAGACGACGTGTGATGTGGACGAGAGGGATGCTGACGAGAAGACAACATGTGGTGTGGACGAGAGGGATGCTGAAGAGAAGACGACGTGTGATGTGGACGAGAAGAATGCTGACGAGAAGACGACTTGTGATGTGGACGAGAGGGATGCTGACGAGAAGACAACGTGTGTTGTGGACGAGAGGGATGCTGACGAGAAGATGACGAGTGATGTGGACGGGGCGCCACGTCGGTTGGAGACTTCCGAGAATAAGACAACCACCACATGCGAAGAACTTCTTCCTGCAATCAATGTTGCGTCCTGGGATTGCTTCAAGAAGGTTAAGGACAGGCAATGTGGGGAGGATCAGGATGCAGTTACCCGATTGGGTAGTGTATCGTATCCTCTCGTAAAAAAACGGGGCGTTCCTCAAGGTAGCTGTTTGGGGCCTGTACTTTACACAGCTGACTTTCCCAGCTGTGTAAAACATTGTACTGCACACTTGTATGCAGATGATTCCCAGTTGCACCGTTTTGGATGAGCCTGGTTACATGAGTGAGGCCATCGACAAGATCAACACTGATCTGGAGAACATCTCCAAAATGGTCTATCATTAATGGGCTTAGGCTAAATCCAGACAAAAGTGCACTGTACTTCATACTAGTAGAGAACCCTTACTAGTCATACTAGTCATAGTACCTAGTACAGACACTAAGAGATAATGGCTTGAGCATCAATCTTGATGGCAGGAGTTTGGCGGTCTGTGACAAAGCCAAAACTCTTGGCGTCATTATTGACAGAAATTTGAATTTTAAAGATTACATCACGCATGTCTCCCAAAGAGCAATAGGAAGACTGAGAGGTCTGTACAGGTTAAGACCATGTATTTTATAATGTCGTCCTCATATGATTTGTTTTGATTTAGTTGTGGGTTTCTCAATATGCATGATTAGCCTATATTAATAAATTTTTAATAATAAATAATTTGAGCATAATACTCTATTATTTTTTAAGTCTGGCGAGAATAAATTCTAAGGTGGTGGTCCAGACCAAAAAGTTTGGAAACCGCTGGTATAGAGGATATTAACTAAAAGATGACTTATTTTTACAATTAACACCCTTTAAGTTAAGGCTCACCACAACTACAGAAAACAATATTTTGGACTTGAGCTCTGATGCTTCGTGCAGTTGAGGTAGGATGTCTAGTGAATCCAGAGCGTCTACTCTAGCTTGGGAGTAGAGGTTGGCGTAACACCTCACCAGGCGTGGTCCACTCAGCTCCCTGAAACAGGCTGATTTGTATAACAGTTCCGGTATGTATTACAACTAAAAGTACAATAATTGTACAAATGATGATACCTAGCAGAGTGTTTGCTACCACTGAATTTCAGTTTCTTTTATTAATTCACTTTCTTCAAGCTATGGTTTCAGACGATTTGTCGTCAAGTTGCCACCCTAACAACCTACCAAACTTTTCCTGCCTGCAGAGACACTACCGTATATTGCTTATTGGCCTCCTACCTGTCAGTTAAGGGTTTGAAGTTTGGGTTAGTTCTTTAATATAATTAATCATTAGGACTTCAATAGTGTGTTATTCTCAGTGGTGCCCTAGACTGATCAGTGCGAAAAAATAATAGTAACAAAATCTGAGGGCTTGTTTACATTTAAGTTTTGACCCATACAAAATTATTTTGGCTAAACATTAGATCTGTAGTTATATCTCATTGACAAGTGGTCATCAACGCACGGTTGAAAGCAATGTCGATTTAAATTTCATGGACACACTTTGATTTTTTATTCTGTATAAACATTTAAAAATTTTATGAAAGAGCAGTTATTTGTGATTTCCGTGAGATGGGTCACACGATTCCTAGAAGATATGAGATATAATTAATAAGTTACTTGCAAACATAAAGATTTTTATATCATATTTAGTATAATAATTAGCCTATGATTTCCAAATTTGCAAACAAAGCCTATCTACGAATATTTTTGCTGAGTTTTTTTATTTTTTTTATTGGTAGGTGGAATGCGTTACGCACTTCCCGATACGTTGAGCGCACAATGGTTACCCCTGCCACAGCATATTATACTCACTGCTGAGGTGTTTTAGAAGACACAATCTCTAGTCTCGCTTTGGTCCTTTCTAGTTCAGCTCTGGTTGTCTCCAGCTCCACCTGTAGTGAGGCTATCTCTCGCTCATCATGAGGAGGCAAAACCTGCAAGGCTGCTCGTGACTTACAACTGTGACAACACGTCACACCTCCACCAGGCTTCCACTCCCACTCTCCACCTGTCAGTTACAAAATGTTGGTTACATGACTTTTTTGCACTAATTTTACTTTCCCGCACCCCAGTATTTCAATTAAACAACATAAAATAGTGTGCTTGTATTAGGCACTGCTTGAAATAAAGTTGGCACCAAATGGCAACACTGCTAAATCGTTCGGTGCAGTTTTTATCTATTAGGTATTCCATTTGACCACTGATACATGACTTAACTTATGAACCTGTTGTAGCCTGTTAACATGTACATTACAAACCAACAATTCTATTAAGATTTTAATTCATTTATGTTTTTAAAATTTAATTCAGAATCTCATTTGCTAATTTGTGACACAATTTAATTTAGGTTTGAATTTGTTAATTTGTAAATCTGCACAGTTCCAGTTAACCATACATACAATTACCCATTATTTATACTAACTTTAGGAAAAATATAGTGTGGAAAGTTTCTTTTCCACTTTGCGTACTAGTTACACAATTAACTAATCTGTATAATTCTCATATTGAGCTGTTGTAGTTTAATCTGATCATATGTATTTCACTCTGCAAAAATTGTATGTTCAAGTAAGAACACAAGCAAAAAAGTTTAACAATGATTAAACTTTTTGATGCTTGAAGCAGCTCTACTTTTTGCAGAGCAAAATAAATAAGGTTTAATCAATTACAATGAATTTATCAGACATCGCAACAGGCATCTTCTCTTTAATCAGTGTTATCATTTCATAAGGTATCATCAATATGACACATACTTTCTCCCAAGCAGTGGAAGTAGGCCTAACTATGATATTTTTATCATTGTCACAGAAGTTATGAATGACTTTTGAACCGTATTTTTTACAGCAATGGCGCCATTTTGCTTAGATTTAAAAGGATTACAAAATACTAAATCTTAATCAAATCTGTTCAAGCCGTGTATGTAAAAATTTGATTTCCCCCCATATTTTTACTGTACTGTATTTTAGAATAATCACCATAAAAATCAAAATGAAAAAAATGAAATAAACACCTGTTGATAACATGGATAAGTTTCACATGGTAGGTACAACATTTCATAAAAATCAGACCATATAGGTGTGGTGTTTGGTCTGTATGCTCTGTACACATGCACACACATAGAGACACTCACACACAGATATCACTTCGAAAACCACTGTTTGGGTTCATGGGGGATCCAAAATAGATACATATCTACCCCAAAACTCCAACTCGATAATTTTGAAGCAAACAATACTTTCTTCATACACTATTTACTATATGTATATAGGGATAAAGTGAAAACCTCAACCCCACCTCTACATGTACATCATGCGACTACCCTTATAGTGCTTACCTCCGCGATCAGTGTTTGGAGGGCTATCAGAACTCTTGCTGGACCCTGTAGTACTCAGTACCAGACACGTTCGACCACTGCGGTTGCTACTTGACCTCACTGCAACAACATCAAATAACTTATTACTTCCCAGTGGCTATGCAAGAAGGGGCTTACAAAACATTTTTTGAGTATAACCATAGTGTCACCTGTACATCTCAATGTCATCTTCAAAAATATGCCAACTCCATACTTATGGAATAGATCAAAAGAAAATACAGATCAATTAAAAAGCTAAACAGTGTTGATAGTATCACGATTTTGTGTCAATAAAACATAGATACAGAGTGGGAAAAAACCTGGGAAACATAAATATTTCAAATACCCCCGCGGCAGCAAACCTGCAGGCTAAGCGAATTTCCATTTACCTGGCTGGATTTCCACTAAAATATTCCCTAAATAAAAGTAAAATGCTCCTCAAAAGTCTAAAAACCATTTTAAGCTAACACGTTTATGTGAAAGAAACTATATTGACAATACCGACTAGGCACTTTGCATGGTTTGTGTCAAACATTTCTTCTACAAACTAACAAGCGAATGTAATTGCATGTAGCTCCACCTGCAGGCTGCAAGCAATCACGACCAAGCCAATAATTAAGATACCCTTAGTCACTCAAGGCTGATGTTGTGGCTGGGCGTGGGAAAGATCTAGTGTAGTCCGCCTCTCTGGGACTACTAGTAGGATGAAAACGGAAACACACAGGGATGGTGTTTTGTTTGAGAACCATCTACAGACGTATGACTTGTTTTATCAATCAAGTTACTTTCGTCAATCAGCTCCTGTATTGTAACACTGTTACGACCGTTCCAGCATCTATGTGCCATCAGCAGAAGTTCAGAAGGCAAAAAAAACATAAACTGTCACACTCGACATACACACATAAACGGGGTTTTTAGCAAATTTCCTTATAGGGAAGTAGCTATACTATAGGTGGCACACAGTATAAGACCTATGCCCGGGACTGATATACTTTTTCATTTTGATGTCCCTAGAGGCCAAAAACACTATTTGTTCATTATATATGTATACTAGCAGAGTATCCGTTCTTCGTACGGAGTTGGCGTATTGGTATTATATGCATATTGCAGTTATACTCGTGCTCTGCGTTTGCAATGGGGGAGGACACGGTTTGAGAAAATTGGGTTCTTTAAATTTTTAGTATGCTATAGCAACGTAGCCGTTAATTTATGGTGTTGATACACATATACCTTAGCCATAATGTTTTACCACTGCACCTTAACTATAAAAAAATGTAAATTACAAAACATCACAATATCACAAATAATTTATTAAAATAAACACATAAGCACTTAAACAATCCTAATTTGACAGGTTCTCATTGTGTGTCACAGCTTTTTTTTGCTACTTCGTGTAAAGATCTTAATTAGGCCTAATTCTTTATAAAAAGGCCATAATACACAGGATTCCAATTTTCACGTATGCTGCCATTTCTTCCATTTAAAAAATGGAATCCATATTTTTGATGTATTTTACGGTATTTTTTTATAATGTAGATGCAATTTGAAGACTTGTTTACTTTTCGCATTTTCTCTCTAAACTTACTCGTTTAGGAGCTACATGTTGCAGAATGAACACAGCAAGTCATTTTTTCTAAGTTGTAACACTCTGTACCTCCTAAACGAGAGGCTTTAGAGAAAAAATGCCACGAATAAAAACGTGTTTAAATTGCATTTACTAAAAAGAATCAAATAAAATACGGTCTTCCATATCAAAAATTGAGGTTATATACCATATTGGAAAAATGGCAGCTAATATATTTTTTTTTACTTTTCCAATCTGGTATTCTACAAGGTCAATAAACGCACAAAAGAAGCCAGAGATGAATAGTTATGTATTTATAATACGTTGAAAAATAACTATTCTGTATTCCTGTGTGTATATTGAAAAGCGATTGAGTAAAGATTTTACTAATTGTTAATTAAGATCAATTTACAAACGACATCACAGTTTGGAATAGAATATCATGGGAACCCCATAGTGGTCTCGTGTTGCCTCATATAATGAGTCTGCTTATTGCATGTTGCGTTTCTGTTCACGTTAATTAACTAATTTACGTGGGAAGATTTCTCCTTTATTTTATTCTGATATAAAGTGTTCCTGTTATGTGCACTACTTTTAAATAACTTATTTATGTTGTTTGTTATTTGCTTTTATTGTTGGGGTTTTACTTTAGTTAGTGGAAGATGGCATAAACACCAAGAATCTATTATGAAGTCTAAAAGCTACAGTTTATAAAAGCTGCCAGTTTAATCCAAATATAATAGTAGTATCCTGATAATTAGACCAATCCGTTAATACCAAGGCAAAAATGTGGTTCGGATTCCACTATAAACTGTAGGTCCCTTGGTTGACATTAGCTGAATGAGCTATTAACAGCTGTGTCCAAGCAATATGTCGGCCTTAGTCACTAACAAGACTACAAGATCGCGCCACTCATCCTACAATCATCTCCCTTTATTGGTGAAATATGTACTGTTAACAGTGCACATGTCCAAGCAACGTCCTTAATGGGACATATTTTCACGTTTTAGTAATTTTATTAAGATATTGTACCATTAATTTGATGTCAACCAACCACCTCGAAGCTGGTTTTGTTCAACCACCTCCAACTCCAAAACATTCTGGGTTCACCTCCACCATTATTGGTGTACAATTCTAAACAAATCAAAACATCCATAAAACTATGAGGAAAATCAAAAAAACTATTCCCATCCACTATTCTCACGCAATATGAACGCAGGCTGCATAAATAAAGGCTGCATACTTTTACGTTACGTTATGCTAGAAAACAGTGAAAGGTGTCTTCCGAGTTCCGAGCTAGAAAGGAGGCTGTTTGATGGATCATTTGATCTATAATCTCAGGTAGTGATAGCATGATTTCGCTCACTTTCCTCCAAAACCAACGGAAACTGGAGAATTATTGGCTCCGAATGAACGACCAAGATCAGTCAAATTATCGCTATTGCCAAATTTCGTAAATCCTTTTCTCATTGCAAAAACGTTTGACTAATGACACCCGTGAAGTGAACTTTTCGTTGCTTATGTAAATTTTGTTAGCCAGTTCAAAAATAAATTGTAACTTAGAACTTGGTTTAGGTTTCATTGAAACTCTGAAACATCCACAGTGTCTGCTCTGCTAAAATACAGTTTTCTGTCACATTCGCCTAAAAAATTGGCGCCACTGACAGAACGACTTATTGTAGACCACTTAATAAGCTGTTGTATCACTACAACTCTAATCATATGAGCAGTAATGATTCGACTCCATCAGCTTTAATAGTAGTACACTAACACCAATGGTAATGGTACTCGTATGGTGGTGTACATAGACTATTTTCAAGTTTTTTGTTAAACAAAAGAATAAAGAATGATAGCCTACCCCGCTTTACTTTGTGGTAATACAAGGCCTTCTGTACAACTCTGAGACGTGATGCTAAGATCGAGTTCTTTATCAGTTTGAGACTCAGTTATCAGTGACCAGTCTGGCCAGGGCCGGATGTTAGACGGCAAGACGCAGGATCAGGACACCCTGTGTCAGACATCAGCCATCTTCATCATCACGATACTTCTCTTTATAGCTCCACGTTCCTGTCCGATACGTTTATATCGTTAATCTATCATACTTAAGAAAGCGTAGAAGATATTCTCTACTGTACTCAATGTAGTTATGGGCTTATTGAGCTGTTGGCAAGTCCATACCTAATGGGTTTAAATCTATAATATTAAAACGAAACAGTGTTTTTTTATTTCACGATTCTGAATCAACCACTCGACGGATTTTCACGATTTTTGTGTTGAAAGAAAGATCATTTTGAAAACTAGGGAATGTCGAAGCCATAATTTTAGTTTAGGGTCCCAGTTTTTCAGAAATTAAGTTTTAATTTTTAAAAAGTCTAGCAGCCGACGCTAAGATTCTAAACTAGCTTTTGGCATAAAATAATTTGCTTGACATAACAGCTGTAAACATTCAGCTTTTGTGTGACAAATTCAGCATTTGGATAAAAATGTAAAGACATACTTAGGGTTGACTTATACTATGTGTAGTGTAATGCTAATCATTGATACGTTCAACTCTTCTGTAAGAGGGTGACAGATTATTTAAATATACATAGTAAAATACTAGGATGTTTAAAGGATTTTTTAAATAAATCTTTATCTTCGGTTTTTTTTTTAGTGCAATATAATTTTCTTTTAACTAACAGCTGGTTAAATATAAAAATGCTCTATAAAACTATGAGGTTATTTTATTTACTCTGATTTTCTCATTGATTATAGGAAATAAGTAAGATTAGTAGACCACCGAGATAAGTAACACCATCGATGTATACAAGTCGAGGCTCTGTACATGAGTCTTAAAAAGAGATATACATATTAATTTACTGCTCAACTTTTTTAGGAAAAGGTAGGAAAATCCATTTTTTACAAGTTTTAATTCATCTTGGTTTGTTTACAATCAATGTTTTTGAATGCTTATACTTTGTTTGGATTAGGCCCGGAAATATTGATGTCATAAAGAAAGGGGATCAAGAATCTTCAGGAATACGATTTTAAATTACCACCACAACCTCAGACGGGTTTTATCTAAAGATATATAGATGAATGACATAGATTGAGCACAACGTCAATTCCTAGGTCAATAGATTGACCTAGGATTCTGCAATTAGACTAACCATCCTTTTATGAAATCTAAAAAGTTGTTTGGCGTGTGTTTAGTTGTGGTTAAGTTTGGAGGCTTTGAATATTTTATAGTTTAAATAAATGAATATGGGGAATTACGGTGTACATTGATTCAATGAGGGTGGTTTAATTATTAAGGATATTAGAACTGATAACGGAATGGATAATAAACATAGACAATTGATTACGTCACTAGCTTTACTAGCGTGTTTACGTTTCAAATTCCTTCAACCTGTGACCAGTTGTTTTGTTCAAATGAATATTATTTTATTTTTGACTCAGCTGTTTACAAAAACAAACTATATGTTGTTGTTTTTACTTTTCTTTGTTTACACTTATTTATTTAGCAATTGATGCAGTGAAATTGATAGGTGTGGACGATTCGTTTAATGATGTCAGGACACCAACGTTATAATTGTGTGTACTGTGAATTTTATTGAATGTTTACGTTTTATTTTAGGGAGTTTCTATTCAGACCTACTGGAAGATGTTTATACACAGTATGAGTAATTGTATTGTGGTGATATTGATTATGGAAGAGGCAGGTATGCGATGGAATTGGAAGGTGATATCGTTGACTAGGCCTATAAACTTCTCAATTGATAGTTACTCTTTCTACTGTAGGCTGCAATAAAATTTGTCTTTATACGTGTAAGCTAGCTGTTCTGAATTATACACAGTTTTAACTCACTACTCCCGTACGTAGGACGGGCTAACACCTCGTATGATTTAATATAAAACACTCTTTTTTCATATTTTGTAAGGGAAAATGTCCTTGCCTTAGTCTTGTTATTTCTTAAAGGTGACCTGTTTTTGGAGTATTCAATAATATATCAATAATTCGTGGAACCGCAACTGGGTACGGAATGTATTTCTCTCGAAATAGGCTACTTAGCCTTCAGATGGAAAGGCGTAAATAAAAATTAAGCCAGCTTCCCCGTCAATAGCTATTTTCTATTATTTTTTCTATTTTGCTACTTGATATCCTAAGTAAGTCAACCACTTCTTAGAAGCTTTGAAGTGACACAAATCCTTTGTCTATGGCAGTAGTGTGAAACAAGTTTTGAGCCAGAGAACCAATTAAAATATTGTTGATATACAAATATTATTACTTTTAATGAAAACTATTGATTTAGTAAATAGCACCAATGGTAGTTAGTATGCTATCAAGATTACAGAACGAATGTCATCAGTCTATCCAAGTGTTTAGACACTTCCTCAGTCCTCAGTCCTTACCACGGGTTTGGTTTTGTTGACCTCTAAACGCCCCGCTGCATTTGCCGCAATGTCGTCAAGTAGTGTTTTTGTAGACAGCTCAGAAATAATCGGTCCTTTGGCCATTGTTGATGGACCGGAAAACTGATTGTTAACGGTGTTAGATATAAAATATATCAAAATAACTGTTAGTTCAGTGTGTTGATATAAAACTCGTCATTAACCTATATAAAACGCTCTGTTGACAATTGTGAGGTTTTTCGTTTTTCGCAAGTAATTGTATCTAGGTACTCTGGCTGTTTATAATAATACCAATACTCATAGTAATAGCTTATATAATTAGTTGTTCAATATCATTGTGAGGATTTCTGTATTGGGCCTACTAAGCGCAAAGGTATAATAATTTTAAACTTGTAGCAAATGAACAAATTGTGTACCTTTTGAACATTGGTTTTTCATTAAAATTGGTCTTTTTCATACATTTCCGTCGTGATAAGCAACTCTTAAATATGTCGTACTAAGATAAATTGTAATAAAGTTAGTAATATAAGATAAATACCCACGGTCTTAAAACATCGGATTTCATCTAGGTTCAGACATTGACTATATAACACTACTAGATTGAAGACTATGCGGGAGGACGCGTGAACAGGAAATGTCTACAATGTACTGTGTTGTGCACGGTGGATGCACGTAGTACTGACCCCTCTACTTAGATCGCAGCACCGTCACCACGAAGTTCATGGAACCGTCGCCTGGCGCGCTGCAGTTGCTGCCAACTGGACTGGACTGAGCTTAGCGGCGGACTAGACTAGACTAAACTGTTGGACTAGACGACTAGACTCGGCGATGCGGAGTGAACGATTATATCACACTTCTAAATTAAAACTGAGGCTTACCATAGGCCTATCAAATATTTAACCCCGTTTTACAGCAGCAATGTCTCATATTACTGACACATCAACTGGTGCCTGTTTCCCTTTAGCAGACAGATGTTGTAAATCATAGTGTAGCCAAGGGGTTGTCGGGTATTGTGTGAAGGCAATGCCCTTATACCCGAACTGAACGAACGCTCTGCCACCCCCCATGTTCTGTCATTTCACTTTCTCTTTTCTCTGAGCACATTTTGCAGTTTTTATTTGCTTTGGGCGTTTTGTGTGGTCGTTATTTCAAGCTCGTTCACTAGTTTCAAAGTGTTAGGTGGATGTATTCTACTATACTTAATAGATTAAAATTTAATTGTGATATGTGGATAAATCAATTTATTTATTTATAAAATATCACACTTTCTTAATTCCAATTAAATATTTTATTATAAATTCTTACAACAAAACATTTACAACATGACGGGTTTGATTACGCAAATTTGTATTTAAGTTATTCTCATCGGCGTTTTAAATTTGATTAGATATTGATAGGAAATTGACACATATCTACAGGACATCTTTTTTATCAATCAAATTCACTAACCACTAAAATATCACGATAAATATTAGGATACGAGTCCCTGTCTAATATCTCAGATTCTTAGCGAAGCAGTTAAATTAATGATCAGTCGCGCTTCACTTTAACAACACGAATTCGAGGCGAGCGGGGAGCGGATGTGCAGTTCCGGCAAGTCACGTGGGCGCGGGTAGCATGGCTCAGCTGTCGGCTGTCTGTACATTGCGTCGTAACAGCAGACTGCACTATGTTTTCATTGCCCGCCACATCGTGGCAGCACCTACTGGTCGGTGACGTCAGCGCTATGGTCGCCCCTTCCCGCCAGAGTGTGCTGATTGCTTGTTCACAACCAAATGCATGGGGCTTTCAATCTATAGTGTTATATAGTCAATGGTTCAGACAGCCTCAGCGGTCTAAAGTCAATACGTTTTTCCAGCAAGGTCTTACGAAGCAAAATGAAGATACAGATGTACAAAATTCACACTCATTATGTAAATAAGTAATAATATATCCTAACCGATATAGCCTAAAATATTAAAAATCAATGTCGAGTTTCACTTAATAAACACTGTATAGACAAGCTATTCGTATGTATAAACGTGTGACAAAATAATGTTTATAAAGCCCACCTGATCTTGTAAGAAAATTGTGACGAGCGCGCTTAGTGACGTAGGGAGAATTTCCAGACATCATGATGGCACTGTCACTGTCACTGTGGTAGCCAGAGATGTCACTGGAGTCTTCGTCCTCAGCCACCTCCTTCATCAACTCCAACACCTGTAACGTAGGTGACATTAGAACATGTAACGTACATGCAATGCAACAGATATCGTGATGTCACAATCACTGTCACTGTGGTAGCCAGAGATGTCACTGATGGAGTCTTCGTCCTCAGCCACCTCCTTCATCAACTCCAACACCTGTAACGTAGGTGACATTAGAACATGTAACGTACATGCAATGCAACAGATATCGTGATGTCACAATCACTGTCACTGTGGTAGCCAGAGATGTCACTGGAGTCTTCGTCCTCAGCCACCTCCTTCATCAACTCCAACACCTGTAACGTAGGTGACATTAGAACATGTAACGTACATGCAATGCAACAGATATCGTGATGTCACAATCACTGTCACTGTGGTAGCCAGAGATGTCACTGATGGAGTCTTCGTCCTCAGCCACCTCCTTCATCAACTCCAACACCTGTAACGTAGGTGACATTAGAACATGTAACGTACATGCAATGCAACAGATATCGTGATGTCACAATCACTGTCACTGTGGTAGCCAGAGATGTCACTGGAGTCTTCGTCCTCAGCCACCTCCTTCATCAACTCCAACACCTGTAACGTAGGTGACAATAGAACATGTAACGTACATACAATGCAACAGATATCGTGATGTCACAATCACTGTCACTGTGGTAGCCAGAGATGTCACTGGAGTCTTCGTCCTCAGCCACCTCCTTCATCAACTCCAACACCTGTAACGTAGGTGACATTAGAACATGTAACGTACATGCAATGCAACAGATATCGTGATGTCACAATCACTGTCACTGTGATAGCCAGAGATGTCACTGGAGTCTTCGTCCTCAGCCACCTCCTTCATCAACTCCAACACCTGTAACGTAGGTGACATTAGAACATGTAACGTACATGCAATGCAACAGATATCGTGATGTCACAATCACTGTCACTGTGATAGCCAGAGATGTCACTGGAGTCTTCGTCCTCAGCCACCTCCTTCATCAACTCCAACACCTGTAACGTAGGTGACATTAGAACATGTAACGTACATGCAATGCAACAGATATCGTGATGTCACAATCACTGTCACTGTGGTAGCCAGAGATGTCACTGGAGTCTTCGTCCTCAGCCACCTCCTTCATCAACTCCAACACCTGTAACGTAGGTGACATTAGAACATGTAACGTACATGCAATGCAACAGATATCGTGATGTCACAATCACTGTCACTGTGATAGCCAGAGATGTCACTGGAGTCTTCGTCCTCAGCCACCTCCTTCATCAACTCCAACACCTGTAACGTAGGTGACATTAGAACATGTAACGTACATGCAATGCAACAGATATCGTGATGTCACAATCACTGTCACTGTGGTAGCCAGAGATGTCACTGGAGTCTTCGTCCTCAGCCACCTCCTTCATCAACTCCAACACCTGTAACGTAGGTGACATTAGAACATGTAACGTACATGCAATGCAACAGATATCGTGATGTCACAATCACTGTCACTGTGGTAGCCAGAGATGTCACTGATGGAGTCTTCGTCCTCAGCCACCTCCTTCATCAACTCCAACACCTGTAACGTAGGTGACATTAGAACATGTAACGTACATGCAATGCAACAGATATCGTGATGTCACAATCACTGTCACTGTGGTAGCCAGAGATGTCACTGGAGTCTTCGTCCTCAGCCACCTCCTTCATCAACTCCAACACCTGTAACGTAGGTGACAATAGAACATGTAACGTACATACAATGCAACAGATATCGTGATGTCACAATCACTGTCACTGTGGTAGCCAGAGATGTCACTGGAGTCTTCGTCCTCAGCCACCTCCTTCATCAACTCCAACACCTGTAACGTAGGTGACATTAGAACATGTAACGTACATGCAATGCAACAGATATCGTGATGTCACAATCACTGTCACTGTGGTAGCCAGAGATGTCACTGGAGTCTTCGTCCTCAGCCACCTCCTTCATCAACTCCAACACCTGTAACGTAGGTGACATTAGAACATGTAACGTACATACAATGCAACAGATATCGTGATGTCACAATCACTGTCACTGTGGTAGCCAGAGATGTCACTGGAGTCTTCGTCCTCAGCCACCTCCTTCATCAACTCCAACACCTGTAACGTAGGTGACATTAGAACATGTAACGTACATGCAATGCAACAGATATCGTGATGTCACAATCACTGTCACTGTGGTAGCCAGAGATGTCACTGGAGTCTTCGTCCTCAGCCACCTCCTTCATCAACTCCAACACCTGTAACGTAGGTGACATTAGAACATGTAACGTACATGCAATGCAACAGATATCGTGATGTCACAATCACTGTCACTGTGGTAGCCAGAGATGTCACTGGAGTCTTCGTCCTCAGCCACCTCCTTCATCAACTCCAACACCTGTAACGTAGGTGACATTAGAACATGTAACGTACATGCAATGCAACAGATATCGTGATGTCACAATCACTGTCACTGTGGTAGCCAGAGATGTCACTGGAGTCTTCGTCCTCAGCCACCTCCTTCATCAACTCCAACACCTGTAATGTAGGTGACATTAGAACATGTAACGTACATGCAATGCAACAGATATCGTGATGTCACAATCACTGTCACTGTGGTAGCCAGAGATGTCACTGGAGTCTTCGTCCTCAGCCACCTCCTTCATCAACTCCAACACCTGTAACGTAGGTGACATTAGAACATGTAACGTACATGCAAGGTAACATATATCATGATGTCACAATCACTGTCACTGTGGTAGCCAGAGATGTCATTGGAGTCTTCGTCCCCAGCCACCTCCTTCATCAACTCCAGCACTTGTAACGTAGGTGACATTAGAAAATTTAACATACATGCAAGGTAACAGATATCATGATGTCACTATCACTGTCACTGTTGTAGCCAGAGATGTCAACAGAGTCTTCACGCACCAGCAATACAACAGGCAATGCCAAATATTACATTGTTAGAATCTTCTTAGATGCCCTATTTACTAACTCCAGCACCACTCAAACACTAGCACAATTGATTTAACTTCACTCCTAAAAACTATACATATACATATTCACCACTTTGTATTCAATGTACAACTAAACACGTCAAGACATTTGACATACCGTTTGGTCATCATTGAAGCTATGTCGTCGTCACCACGGGCGTTGCTAGCTTGCGTAACACTGATATCATTAATTTTTTATCGATAAGATCGCTGATACACTTGCATTAGAAACATTGTGAATCACATTACTAATGGTCTGGTTGTACGAGACTGTTTGTTAACCCAGTTAATAAATACATGCAATCTAAAGTTGGGTATTGTTGATGTTGTTACTGTATAATGTCCAGTACCGCATCGGATTAATGTTATATCTCATTTTTAGGGTAAGTTTTATTGTTTTCTTTTATTAGCAGAGTACAAGCATTCGGTTAAAATAAATTATACTTGGTCGTAGTAGTTTTAAAGTTGATAAAATAACCTATAAACAACGCGGAAACATCAAAAATTACCAAATTTAAGTCTTAAAATCAATGATCTTCAGCTATTCATTCATTCTAACATTACAAGGATGATAAATGCCCTTAAAAGAATATCCTTGATCCATAGTATTATTATGGTTTCTTATACAAACAATAATATACACAAAAGGTTAAATTACATTTTTCGTCCAAGTAATCCTGCAATCGTCTATATGGCGACCATTTTCAATGTCTATGGGCGATGGGTGTCATTGTCAAGCAGACATAAAATTCATCACTCGATGGAGGTCGTTGTAGTCCTTAAAAAAAACTTCGCAAATACACGTGAAGGCAAACAAAAAACTATCTATCCTGTCTATCTATCACTAACAAAAACGGCGATGCATTTTAGCGAATTTCCCTATAGGGAAGTAGCTATTACCGTAGGTCTAATGGTAAGACCTAAGCCCGGGACCGATTTACTTTTTCATTTTGATGTCCCCAGAGGCCAAAAACACCATTCGTTCAAAATTTTATATATCTATATATAGATATATATATATATATATATACAGGGTGTCCCACGAGAGGTGTCTCAAATTGATTACGGGATAACGGCTTAACGTACAAGGATGAAATAAAATTATTTCCCACTAAATCGACCCCAAGGAATAACGTAAAAATATTTTTAACTTTTTTCAAATACAGGGTGTGCCAAAAACTGAGGGTCACTAGTTCGAATCTCGGAATTTTCAAATGTAAACATATGTCATGTTATACATCAATTTAAAGGTATTTGATAGACAAACATTTTGGCGAAAACTAAAATTAGTTATCTTTTTCCGTTTCAAAATGGCGGCAGTTTTTTTGAAAGAAATCTATATTTTTTTAATACTCTGTATTTCCTATACCAATGCATTTAGCCCTTCTCCGGTTGCATTTTCTTACTCGTTATGAAATTAGCTTTACTGTGATATGCAACAAGTAACGGTTTTTTGAAATAATAAAAATTCCAAAAAAATTTATTTTTGAAAATTTACAAATGCTCATTGTTCAAAATTTTCAAATAGCAACATATGTCAAGTGGCACATCATTTTATAGGTTTTTCAATTCCTAACAACTTTGTAATTTACACTTACTTCGTATCTCTTCTAGTTTTTGTGTAAAAAACAAAAAACCTAATTTTCCTATATCAAATGCATGTTATTTGGGTTTGACCAGCGAGCACATAATAATAATAATAATAGAGAGGACACGGCGTTTAACCAAATGCACTGAAAGTGTGGCGAAATCCGCCATCTTGGTCCGTCATACAGCCTGAATCCTAGACCCGCGAGCACAGTTCGCATTAAAAACCCCGCGACAAATACACGATCATAAACAACATTAATAGTTGACAAAAATTGCTGAAATTTTGCATACTTGTAGATCTGGTACTGAGGATAACGATGGTGTCCATATATAATTATTAGTTATGATAGTAATTGATTTATAAACATTTGTATTACTTGTGTAGTTTAATTTTTCACATTCAGACATGAAAAAGTTGTA